ATAAATGGTAATCAAGATTGGTTCCCGTGCAGCTGTCAATCGAAAGAACGGAGAACTTTGACTTTATTCTGGTTCCAACGCCACTAAGGAGCAGTGTCACTTGAACCAGTGTAGGCTTTCAAAAATTTTAGGGGTGGTTTTGGCAGCTCATAATATTAAAGTTTTGAGTTTAATAGGTTCACAAAACTTGGTGGATGCATTTTTGTTGATAGACGAGTTGGTTTTTGCAGGCATTTTACAGAACATATACATACAAGCTAAATAAACTACCGGCTGTAAAAAGGCGAGGTGAAAGAAACTTTCTTTCAGCTGAAGTGTTGTGCTATGATTCATTTTTCATAAATTTTTTTTTAGTACTCATTGTAAATGGAAACTTCTTTGACTGGAGCCTTATTTCTAAAAAGAAAGCTCTGTGTTCCTTTGGCACCCTATCTATTATTAAAAAAGTTAATAAGTAATATGCTCCAGTATTAAAAACATATTCTCAGTCGTTATTAAAGATAAACTCATTTAGCGATGCAATCACTTTTTCAGTTTCAAGTGATGTGCTAACAGATGTTGGCATCTGCTCCAAAATGATCAGTGACTGCTCCAAACCAATGTTTTGCCTGCTACAGAACCTGCTACAAAAGGTCGAATGCGGCTTTCATCACTGGTACAAGTCCTGCCCCCTTAGCCAAAAAGTTTGGAGACCTTTGGTTTAGCCGATGAAGAAACACGTACAAGGAGATGACGAATGCCATGGTGTCGCACTTTGATGCTGTAAATCAACCGGCCAGAGCTGTTGATGCGCTGGCTGGCTGAACACCAACATCGTCTAAATTTCCAGACTATGTCGTCGATGTCAGGAACCGTGATAAAATGTAACCAGGGTCTAGTACTCCCGATGAGATTGCTCGATTATCATGTCTGCCACATGCCTTTGTTCCTTGGCTGCAGAGTACCGTGGCACTTGAGCTGCTCGCGTCAACATTCACCGCCTCTCATCAGCGTGCGCACGTCGAGCTTCATTGCTTTGCACCGGAGTGCTAGGAGCAGCAACTGACCTACACTTCGTGTAGGGGAGAAAGGGCAAGCACTATGAAGGCTGGGCAGGAGGAGAGAAACCTCCTCTCTCTAATGTTCCTAGTGTTCTCCCTTTCTCCCCTTGCCCTCCATTGCCCTCCTCTCCCGTCCCGTTTTCCTAGTACTCGCCCTTTCTCTCTTGGCTTGGCATTGCCTTCGTCTGCACTGCGCACAACTATTGATGCGGAGTATAGGGGATTGCCTGGTTTAGCGAGATAGGCGCGCAAATTATGCTCAGGATTATTTTTTGGTCGTAATTGTAAGTTAATCTTCAATGGACCTCTTGGCGAATATGTGCTGCCACCTAGACACGCGACTGGGGTCGAGGCTAAGTGGCGAGAAAACAACGCGCGCGCGAGGCCTCTCCCACCCGTTGCACTCCCAAAACGTCAGCTACATCCTGTTCACCCATTGAGACGCTGTGACCTAGATACGGCTCCCCCAAACTCGCCTTTGTCCCCATCGTGCGTAACCTTCCGCCCCGAAGTCGACACAACGAAACCATCTTCCCTCTCTGCTCGGCTAGAAGGAAGAGAGAGAGGGTACTGGAACCAGTTACTCTCAAACCGATGTTTCTGCAAAAGGTCCATTAAGAAAGAGAGATAGGAGAAAACACATGTCTATATATGTTTGAATAAATATGGTAGTCACGGTAGTTCCCGTGCAGCTGTCGATAGGAAGAGCAGGGAACTCTGACGTAACTGGTTCCTATGCCACTAAACAGCAGTGTAACCTTTAAAGCACAAGTGTAGGCTTTTATAATATTTTTGGGGTGGTTGTTTTTGCTGTTTATGATATTAAATCTTTCCTGACCACGCCCATAGGCCATCAATCATTGGTGACCGATGGTTTCCAAGTGTCATTAAGAAAGTAAATTTAGTGCGGAGAATTATGTTCCACAATCTGGTGGATAGCCGAAGAACTCTAGTTTCGGCTTCAACGTAGGTTTGAGGTTTATCACAAGCTGGTGGGTTGTCGAAAATAGTCTTGGGAGCGGTAGTTGCATTTGTCTAACATGACTAACTGCTTGCATCCGTCTTTGTAACAAAAATGGCATTATTTACATAATTCAACTATATTGTGGCATACTTTCTAGACCTCAGGAGCTCTGGGCACACCTTAAAGTATGTTATAACGTCTCTTAACAGGTGTTTGTCGGTAAGCATCACTATAATTTTCAGTGCTGTCTGGAGCCGGCGTGCACTTTTTAGGTTCCTAACAAGGCCGACAAAAATGCTAAATATGCAGGAACTGCAATCAAGACTATGACAAAACCAACATAGAACACAAAAAATGCATTCTGCTAGGTATGTGAGGTGAACTATCTGTGTTTCACCAATATAAGCATTCCTTCATTGAAAAGCACAAATTTTACGAAGGCTTACCCTCCCATGAACAAAAAATAGACGTCAGTCAGAAAGTAAACATTAGACATAAGTCTGTCTGGTTAGAGGAAATAATTATTAAAATAAGACGACCAACCAATCCCTAAATCAGGGGCCCAACATTTCGAAGCCTGTTTGGCTTCTTCTTCAGGGGCGACTATGGAGGAAAGGAGCCGCAATCCTTTCCGTTTCGAAGGCGAACAAACTTCGAAACATTGGGCCCCTGATTTAGGGATTGGGTGGTTGCCATATTTTAATAATGTCAGTTAGAGTATACTAACTTCCAGAAGTGATAGCCGTGGATGTGGGGCACATTATTTATATTGTGAATTCTTTTTTTGTCGTTTAATTTGACACAGCTGTAGAAGTTTCGACGTTTATACGCCTTCCGCACATACATTGTATTTTCAAGAAATAAAATTTTAATATCCTTTTTCCATATTATACCAACCTCTGTTTCTTCTGAAAGAACAACTAATTGGCCACATTTTGATGTGTCATATTGCTTCATATGCAAGTTAAGAAAATAAAAGCGTTTCCACATATCCCATGAAAATCGCTACTTTTCCCGTGGTCAGGAAAGAATTAAGAGTCTTGTGTTCGGTAGGTTCATTAAACTTGTGGGACACATTTTTATTGGTAGACATGTTAGCGTACCTACTGGGACGAGCTTCCACTTCGCTCTTAGCCTGTGACGGACTATAGTCTTCGTCACTAAAGCCTTGAAATGACTCTTCTGAGTTGGAGCAAAATCAACTCATCAATCACTCAGTTTCTACCTCCTTTTGACTTTACAACCCTCATCTCCCTTCTTCTGCTTCGCTGCTTCACCGCTGCTATGCCCGTGCTGTTGACTGGTCGCGAAAGTAATGGCCGTCCACAACGACTGAGCACTAAAGTGTCTTTGCATATTTTCAAACTTGTTTTAAATAGGTGTGAGCATTTCATATGTCCTTTAATGATTTTTTAAATGTTACAAAGGTAGGGGATGTCGCTTATTGTGACATGGGCGCGTGCTCAGTAGTTTATGTTAGTGGCGGTTAAGCACAGAAGTCTCAAAGTTGCAAAAATCTGATAATGAAGGTGCTGCTTTGCCCTCTGAAACATCATGCGAGGGACGCAGTGCCGTTTTGACAATGTAATCATACGCGCAAGTAAAGGGTCATCCCGTTCCCAACTACCACCTGCTTCCGTTTTACAGTCCCTTTAAGATTTCTGTAGTTGAAGACCCCAATAAAACAGTTTCCGGCTATCTTGCTTGTTACAAGTAGCTGCTTCCTCGTTGCCTGACGTATCCATTTGCAGAAACGTCGACTCCTGCAACAAATGTTTGCGGTGTTGTCAGGTTTTCTAAAATGTGACACTTTCTATGTGCCTTGAATATGCACAAAGACTTCTAAATCATATACTAGTTCTTGATTGTCATCTTGGTAACCCATACTTTTATTGCAACCTAATCTTTCACAACTCGCCGAGAGAGAAATATTATTGGAATTGCATTTTTTTACGCACATCTCTACATGGTTCCTTTTTTGCCTTTTTTTTTGTGTCATCTTGCAAATATTTACGTCCATTATGTCAATATAAATCTGCATTCCTATTGCATTTCTTTTAAAAATTTAACTGCCATTGTAAGACTTGCATCTGTTACCCTCATACAGAAACAATGGTTGGTATAGTCTTGCAGGTCCATCAGTTTTGTTATTGTCCAATTTTTGTTTCCTGCTCTCCCCTTCTGTAATGCTTTTGGGCCTTGAGGGAACAATAAATGAAATTAAATGAAATGCTAGGTGTACAGTCGCAGACAATATGAAAAATCCCAGGCGAACACGTGGCCTTCAGGATCTGCCACACTATCTGTCAGAAGAAAGCTCAATTATTATCGAGTGGCTGTTCAGTTTTTGTTGCCGCTCCCTGTTTTGCCACCGGTTGCTTAATTAACACTAATTTTGCCGAATATGAAGGTATTCTGCAACAAGAGGCAAAATTGAGCATGGCTGAATCTGCCGGGTTGTCAGGTTGAGCGGTCAGTTTTCGGCGTGTGATGACAAGAGTTTGCAGAATAACTAACGATGAGCCATTTTTGTTTTATTTCACTGACCACTGCTGCTATCGGTGTTGAGACTCGGCAGTCGTTCGCCAGCCAGTTGCGGCGTAATGACAAAAGTCAAAGAGCTGCTGAAATTCCGCTCACTGACACAGTAGATAACTCAACTTTCTTGGGTTAGATAGCACTGGAGGTCTTCAGAGCCCCATGCTCGCCTGACCCTTTTCGTGTCGTCCACGGCTGCACGTACTGACACGAGAGTTGCATTTCCTGGACTTAGTTGGTGACATTGACTCATTTTGTATAATGCATTCTTTTGCCACTTCTGTTAACTTCCTTACTCTATTATTTCAGTGCACTTGCATTCCACACATCTTTTTTTGTAGTAGTTCTCGCTTTATCCTTGTTGACCCTAAAGCCCCCTCTGCTGACTTTGTGCAGGCACTGGAATATTAGTAAACAAATGAAATTGATGAGGCTCCTTTCCTGGTTGTGTTGTGCAGCGGTGAGCCCGAGCCGTTTCCCAGCCACACCCATGCGGTGCGAGTACTACAACGAGACGCTGTGCCAGGGGCCTCCGGGCCCTGGCGGTGTTCCGCTCCCAGGCTGCAACGGCAGCGAGGAGTGCAAGCCTGGTGAGAATGAGAAGGGGAACCTGTGTTACGTTCTATGGCAGAACACCAGCGGCTCCCTCAGCATCAAACTCAAAGGTACGCCCATCTTTGCAAATGCTTGATTTTCAGAATAACCTGCCACCACCTGTCGATGGGGTGTTTCGAGCGTACGTAGTCGTCTCTCCCTTTCTCTCGTTGTGCTGATAAAAGAATCCTACCGAAATGATCTGGCAGTGCGGCAATGTCTCGGGCCTCGCCACATTGCCGGCTTGTTACGTCAGGCTTCGCGTGAATTTTCGAAACTATAGCTTTGAATAGCGTACTGTTTGATTTGATTATTGTGTCGAATATAGAACGTTGACTGTGCTTGGAAGTTCCACAGTCTTTCTCTATGTTTGTGATCTGTTTGGGTGGGTTAGTTTTCTTCCTGCTCTGGACAGGGAACATAGTTTTCTTCCTGCTCTGGACAGTGACATTAAATTTGAGGGATGTATTTTCGGCCACAAAACTGTATTTAATTACAATTGTTTTTGAAATACCCACGTTTCAGTATTTGAATACACACATCAAATACATTACCCAATTTGTAATTAAATACAAATGCAAAATACACAAAGTATTATAAATATGTATTTCAAATACTTGTATTTGAAATACTGCCCATCCCTGCAAATAGGAAAGCCCATACCCCAATCCAAGCCTAAAGCCGAAAGTGTGCATCTGGCGACCATGCTACCATTCGGTTATTGATGTGTGTGGTTGAGCATCATGTTTTCATTGTGTTTCCAAAAGTGGCCTCTTCACTGACGATGTTGGCAATAAGAAAGTGATCGCTTGATCTGGGCTGGACGAACTTGAATATTTTGAAATATGCAAGGTCGATTAAGCCCGTGCAAAATGATCCTCACAGTGCTCGATGCCCACTGCCTTGTGTTGTAATTGTCATATACGTTTCACCGCCTCTCCAGTCGTCGGGGAATTTCACCTGAAATTGTCAGGGGAAACCTGGAAAAGTCGGGGAATTTCAAAATAATAATTTGCTAGACACCCTGGTTACTATACATGAAAAAGAAATTTCTTGAAAACTAACGATTAAAATTTATTTTGAATTCTTATTTTCAAGAAGTAGTAGCGAAAGCAGCTTGCCACAAGGAAGGTCGAATGCTTTTCCTTCTTTTGCAAGATTCAGCCGATAACGACTGAGTGTAGTTTCAAACGCCGTCGTCCAGCTCTCTCCCAATTAAAGCAAAGATGTCGCCATTTTCTGCAACAACTGACTGACCTTACAAACTCTCATGCCACTATACTCCAAGATCAGTGATTCCACTGATTTGGAATCGAGGGGTGCTTGATTCTAGGTAAGAGTATGTGCCTCATGAATGTCTAAGGATTGAGGGTTTAGATGAAGACAGTCCTCGTACATCGCAGAAATTTTCAGAAATCTGTGTTTTCCGAACTGATTTTGTATTTTGGACACCGACGGATGTTTATCAATGTCTTTCGGCTAAAGCGGTAAAAGTCTGCAATCCAAGTACTAGTTGATGGCCTGCTCAGGAGGTGGGGTGCGTGCCCCCTGCAATGCGCAGGCTGCTGGGTGGGCAACAACCACGAGTGCAGCCGGAGCGAGCACTGTGCCGAGACCAAGAGGGAGCCGGGCGTGCAGCTGCTCTTCTGCTGCTGTGAGGGGGACCTGTGCAACTCCCACCTCAAGCCCTCCGCCAAGCTCACCCCTGCACAGTCCCGTGAGTGTCCCGCGTAGCCACATGGTGTCGGGCAATGTAAGGGGAGCCAAGTTGGTTCGTCTTTGAGATGGGGAAAGAGTAGTTGAAGGCATACGAGCCTAGGTGAGATAGGGAGGTCTTGCACAGCCATGGAGGTAGGGAGCTTGTGAAGCCAGAAGTGTGGAGGGACACGCTTTCAATGATGACCAAAACCAAGAGACTCCATTGGACGAAAAGAAGAGCTGACCCAACAGCTGTTTTGGTCACCCTCGGCGAGGGTGACCATAACATCTGTTGACCAATACCGTCTCTTGGTTTTGGTCATTGTAGGGGAAGTGTCCCTCCACACTTCTGGCTTCACCTCGGTGGCCTCATGTCGCTTCCAGAAGTTTCCTACCTCCATGTACCCTCGCCCAGAAGTTCATTCAGCACAACCGCTGAGGTTGAAATAATGGGACTGTGGTGATTGGAACTGCAATCTTACTGCGATGTCGCGTTTTTGTCGCAGTGCATCAATATGTTGTCATCTGAAATAAAAAAAAAGAAAAAAAAAAAGCTCCGAAATAAAGAATATACGATACAATGCTAGGATGTCATGACAACCAACGAGGGATCCTTTATGTGCCTTCTTCATTGTGTCTTACGTCGTGCCATGTTAGGAGAGAATATGGGTGCGGGTGGAAGTTATTTCTCTTGCCTTGCTCTTCACACGAGCTGCATATATGTAAATTGTCCTGCCATTTTCCATCTTTGTGCGTAGTGGGGATATGAGTTGAAATGAAGAGCTTCCTAAAAAAGTATCTCCCAAGCCTCTAGCTCCTTCCGAGTCGGTAAGCAGTGAATTTCCGTGTTGTCGGTGTTTACATCCAACTGTGTCATGGGTTATTGCAGGTTGTGGGTCGCCTGTCAATTCCCGATCAGGCCTAGTTCTACTCGCTCCGAGGAAGTCACACAAAGAGCGCTATCATAGAAACACTTTATAAATACTCAAATTGTGCCGTCGATGCTGTGGAAGGCCACGGTTGCCCTGGGGTCCGGGTCTTGCCTGGGCTCGTTCAGCACCGCCTCTTTCGTTCGTCACGGCCCTTCGAACTCTGTCCACGCGCACCCACCACGAGCGTCCCTTTCTCTTCTTCCTCGCCGCTCACGGGGCCGTCCATCCACGTTCAGCGTGGCTCGTTGTCTCCCACACTCCCCTCCCCTCAAGCCTCAAACTCCGGGGGGGTCCGGAGCATCCGGAGTCCCTGGACCGAGTCACTGGACTCCAAGTCGCCCATCTCCGCCTTGCTGGTGGCGGTGGACGTGCATCAGGTGACTGGTGAACTCCTGGTGGGGGGACTTGATGAGCTCTCGCTCCCGCAACAGGTCCGGGGTCAGGTAGCTGTACGTCTGCTGGATGGCCAGGTAGGTGGTCTCGGCAAAGTTGCCCAGCGTGGCCGTCGAGACGCGGGCCGAGGTGTAGCAGTCCTCGATGCCCGCCATGTGCAGCAGCTTCTTGGGCACTGGGGCGGACACGATGCTTGTGCCGCGGGGCTCCGGATCAGCCGCATCAGCACGCACCTTGCAGGGTACGGTGTGGCGCTTTCCGCTCTTCTTTCCACAATAGCCGCTACGGACGGGGATGACGCACAGCTATGCCAGGATGATGGCTTGAAGGATGGCCGTGGCCACCTCTTGGGAGCACATGGCAGGACTGGCACCTCTTTGGAGCTCTTGGAGCACTGGCCGTTGAAGTCCCCAATGGCCACAAAGGCCTTGAAGCGGGTGTGCTGGCCGGCACGCGTCTGCTTCTGCACCGGCATAGTCTTCAGCACCTCGTCCTTCAGCGTGTCCCTGGGACTCTCCGGTCCTCCGCGTCTCCGCCACCCTGCCTTCGTTGACGTGGTCGACGTCGGGATTGCTCACCCCGTCTCTGCCAACCAGGTTGACCACCCTGACGGTTGGTCCGTCTTGCTCCTTGCTAACCGGGTTGACCACCCTGTTGGTTGGTCTGGCCGTTCCCCCTTCCAACGGGGTTGACCACCCTGTCGGCTTGTCTGGCCATTCTCTTGCCGAACGGGTTGGCCACCCGGTGCGTTGGTCTGGCTGGTCTTCTGCCGGAAGGGTTGACCACCCTGGGAGTTGGGCCAGCTGGCTCCGCCGGTATCCCGGGAAGTGGAAGGTCGCCTTCCCGGATGGCGCCGCCCATTCTGGTCCCTCCGGGGGGCATTTCTGGACAGAACGAGCTCTATTAACATCTTGCAAAGATTAGATCAAGTTCTAGGCCGCAGATTATAGCGCCGCGCAGAGCACCTATCGGATCTCTCACCGACGGGTTCGCGCATTGTTCGGCTACCGCGCTTAGGCAGCGTTGCCAGTCGCGCGCGAGAGTCACGCGGAACGGAGGATTCCTCGTTTTGTTCTCGTTCATCGTCATCCCGATCACGAAGATGGTACTTTTTTAGGTCTGTGATGTGGACCGGGCCAGACTCCTCGCTCGCATTTTCCTGAGCGAGCCTGTAGGTAAGACGTGACAGTCGTGCCTTTACCACGTAGGGCCCTTCCCACTTCGGAGCAAGTGAGGCTGCGAATCCGCTCGCTGCGTTGCTCAAAGGATGGGTTCTCCTGAGGACCAAGTCACCCACCTTGTACTCCAGGTGACGATGAGTCTTATCGTACTGGGCCGCCTGTTCGATCCTTGCTGCAACGAGGTTCTCTCTGGCGTCGTGCAACGCATTCGAAAGGCGAACTTTCAACTCCGCCGCGTATTTAGAGAGTGGGCGTTCTGTCGAACCTTGGTTATTTCGTAACCCGTTCTCCAGCGGAGACGATAGCTCCTTACCCAAGTTTAGAAGCGCAGGCGTTAACCCAGTAGATCTGTTCACGGTCGTCCGGATTGCAAAACCCATCTCGACAATGTGTTCGTCCCAGTCCCTGTGTCTCTCCGTTAGTGTGATCAGCATGCTCTTCAAGTTTCGGTTCACTCTCTCAGTGATATTAGCCTGAGGATGGTATGGTGTCGTCCTTTTGTGCTTTATGTTTAGCGCCAAGCAGGAGTCAGTGAACACTCTGCTGGTAAAATAGCTAGCATTATCGCTGATGAGACACGTGGGTGTACCGAAGCGCATGAAAGTTTCCAACAACTTCTCCCAGATGCGCTCCGAGACCAGCTTCCTCAGCGGGTGTAACTCCACCCATTTCGAGAAATGATCGGTTATTACCAATAAATACTGGTTCCCACGGGGACTTTTTGGAAGTGGGCCGATGATGTCGCAAGCAACCATCTCCCACGGGTAGTGACTCACTACAGGCTGCATCAGGCCTGGGGGCTTTCCCCCTCGCGGCTTCGCTTTCTGGCAGGCTGGGCAGCTACGGGCGTATCGGAGTGTGTCCTGTCTCATCCCCGGCCAGGTCGCGACGCGACATAACTTTTGAAAAGTCTTGCTGCCGCTGCCATGACCAGCCAAAGCCGAGTCGTGGAAGTATCCGATAAACCGCCTCCGTAGCCTCCTAGGAATCACCACCCTGAACGGAGAGTCGTTCCCCTCCTCGTCGTCGATTGTTGGAATGTAGCGGAGCAATAAGCCGTCTTGACCCAGCAAGTATGAATCAATATGTTCGTTAAATTGACCGCCAGCGTTCCCGGTGTTGCTTGCTATTTCCGCAATTTTCCCCAACACCCGCTGACAAAAACCATCTGCCTTTTGGGCCTCGACAAGCTCTTCCTTGCTCACCACTTCACCCCAAGCCACGATCCTCTGTTCCCTCGTGCGGCCTCCTAACACTGCGACGAGCTCCTGTTGCATCGATCCCTTCCCGCTGTCTCGCTTATGAGCGGCCGCGCAGGAAGCTCGTCTCTCGCAATCCCCTGGCTGCGTCTCCTCCTTCCAACCACTATCATGGGGCGCCCGAGAAAGTGCGTCTGCAACCTTGTTGGTGGAGCCCTTTCGGTACTCGACAGTATAGGAGTATCGCTGCAAAGTGAGTGCCCACCGAGCTAACCTCCCCGCCGGCTCTTTCAACCTTTGAATCCAGGTGAGAGCGGCGTGGTCTGTCTGAATGACGAAAATGGTCCCGTCTAAATACAGGTCGAATTTCTTTAGAGCAAACATGACGGCCAGCCCCTCCTTCTCCGTCACGCTGTAATTGCGTTCTGGCGGTGTAAGGGTTCGGCTGGCGAATGCCACCGGGCGCAGCTGTCCGTCATGTTCTTGCAATAACACCGCACCGACCCCGTAGTCACTCGCGTCGGTCTGTACCACGAACGGACGGTTAAGGTCTGGCAGGCACAGACTGGCCGTGGCTGCTATCGCCCTCGTGAGGGAAGAGAAAGCTACCTCTTGTTCTCCGCCCCAGGCCCATCTTGAACCTTTGTGGAGCAGCAGGTTCAGTGGCCGTGTGAGTCCAGCGCACCCTGGAATGAACTGCCGATAAAAACCGACCATTCCAAGGAACCTTTGAAGGCTCTTCGCGTCACGCGGTGGTGGGTAATCAAGAATGGCCCTCAACTTATCCTCGTTCGGCCTCAAGGTACCGTCATCTACGACGAAACCCAAGAGGTTGACCCTTGAGGCTGCGAGCTGGACCTTCTTTGGATTAATCGTTAATCCCGCTTTGCTCATTCTGCTTAAGATAATCTCAAGGTGTGCTAGGTGCTCCTCGAATGACCTTGAAAATACGACGACATCATCCATGTATGCCATGGCAAAGTTGAACTTCGCGTCCCCCAGCACGATGTCCATAAGCCGTTGGAAACTCGATGGCGAGTTAGACAATCCAAACGGAAGGCGGATAAACTCAAACAGACCCCTGTGACAGGTGAACGCCGTCTTCTGGACATCGTGTGGTGCTACCTGGATCTGCAAAAAACCTCTGCTACAATCCAAGGTAGTGAAAACCCTCGCGCTACCCAACGAGTACATGATGGACTCAATAGATGGGAAGGGATATGAATCCCTTCGTGTCATCTCGTTAAGTCGGCGGTAGTCAACGCAGAGACGAGCTGTACCGTCTTTTTTTGGCGCTAAGACTACCGGAAAAGCCCAGGGACTCTGTGACGGCCTCACGGCCCCTGTGTCTATCATCTCATCGAGAGCCTTATCTAGGAGAGCTCGCTTGTGCGCACTCAGCGGTCTGGGATTACAACCCCATGGTCTAGCATCTCCTGTGTCGATTCTGTGTTGTAAAATGTTTGTAAGTCCTGGCCTCTCGGTAAACATAGCTGCGTGTCGATGCAAGGCGTCTGCTAACCTACGCCGTTGTTCTACCGGCCCGTTGTAAGAAGCGACAATCGCTTCAACGTTTCCCGATACGACTCGCGCAGCTAATGTTTGCTCCTCTCGTGATCCGACGAGTGAGCTTTCTGTGTCCTGACCGAAACTCGGTGGGACGGCAAAGGGGATAAGGGGAGTCAACGGATTATAGTGGTACCCGTTATTCTTCAAGTCTATGATAATCCCCTCCCGGCAGACGAAGTCCTGTCCTAAGATCACAGGGATTTGCATGCCTGGCAGATACAGAAAACGCTGCCTCCTTCGACTGCCGTCGAGGCTAAGGTGAAGGCGTATAGCGCTTTGTGCCCTAGCCGATCCTGCTGCTAAACGCAGCGTGGTGGAAACTTCCCGCACGTGAAGTGCTCGTCGGCGACAGTCTTCGTAGACTCTGTCGCCGATCAGGGAAAGAGTCGAACCGGTGTCAATTAGTGCGTAGTAACTGTTACCACCGATCTCGACGCGCACGTACGGCCCCTTCTCAGATGTCAAATCCTGAGTTCGACATGCCGACGGGGCAAACACCGACCTGTCGCTGACCGCAACTCCAGCCCCGTTGGCAGACTGATGAGGGGCCTCGGCAGCGGCCGGCAACCGCGAGTCGGGAAGTCCAATTAGTGGCGCCGGCCTCTCGCGTTTCCCTGAGAACCATGGGGGGGAGCTGCCGTCCATGTGCACTGACGCTTGATATGCCCAAGCTGATTGCATTTATAGCACCTGACCTGTCTCCTGCCATTGTGTGCTGAGCGTCCGCCGCTACCATCACGCGAAGCAGTGTCGCGCCGGGGGTCATTGTAGTTCCCGCGACCCTCGTAATGATTCGCGACTCCGCGGTGGTCGGCTGCGCCGCCTCCCCTAGGGGGATGCGCCCTGGAAGAGCCCGCGTTAGCTGCTCTGCGCCTCTGTTCAAAAGCGAAGGGATCTAAGGCGCGGGGCACAGCAGTTGCGCCACTCCTATGTCCTGTAACGGCCACGTACGGCGTACGTGAGTCGTCGCAAGCTCCCGCGCCTCGTCCTGTCCAGGCGCAACCCGGCTCCAGAGATTCCTCTGCGCGTGGAGGGGGGCGATACGTCAACTCGGCGAGCAAGCTCGCCTGAACGATGCGCGCCTCTCTGGCAAGTGCTTCCAGATCAGCGAAATCACGTCCGCGCAAGTAGGGTTTAAATCTAGGGTGACACTGGCGGATCGCCCTAGCTACCCTCTCCGCGTCTGACGCTGTAGGGTCGGCTCTGGAGTAGAGCTCCTGGAGAGCGCGGACGTATTCTACGAGGCTCTCGTCCGGATGCTGAGTACGGCTGGCTAGCTCATCTCTGATCCGCATCTCATAGTCGGGAGGCAGAAATTCCTCTCTGAATCGTGTCCGGAAATCTGCCATCGAAAGGAACGGCCCCTGCATTCGCCTCCAACGCGCTGCGTCATCCGTCAACGCGATTGGGACGATCTGTATCAGGGCCGTTTGATCCGACGCGCCCAACGCGGCAATGTACGCGTCTAGGTCCTGCAAGAAATCGTGAACCGATGCTGCGTCGGAGTAGCCCGAATAGGTCGGCGTCGGCACGCTCAACCGCGGGCGAGGCACGGGCGTAGGCGCGGGATTCACCACCCCTGGGGCCAAACCCATCTGTCTAGAAAACGTCGCGAACATCGCCGTCATGGCGTGCATTAGTTCGCTGACGTCTCCCGTGTTCACCGCCGGAATTGGGGGTTCTAGCGCTGCCGCAACGCTCGCTTCCCCACTCGTGCCTTCTCCCACGTCTGAGTCAATATCCGCCACTGACTGGGTTGAGGCCTCGGGATGGGCGGCCTTATTCCGTAACCTGGACATGGCGGCAGAACGTTAAACACTGATGTCCAGCGGAGTAACAAAAAAATTCAAATGGGGAAACAAAACAAACCTAAACTTAGAAATCGCGATTCGTGGGACTCCCCGGGAGCGAAAAAAAAACAACGGCAGACTGATCGGGCCCCACGTTGGAAGCGCCAGTTATGTGGGTCGCCTGTCAATTCCCGATCAGGCCTAGTTCTACTCGCTCCGAGGAAGTCACACAAAGAGCGCTATCATAGAAACACTTTATAAATACTCAAATTGTGCCGTCGATGCTGTGGAAGGCCACGGTTGCCCTGGGGTCCGGGTCTTGCCTGGGCTCGTTCAGCACCGCCTCTTTCGTTCGTCACGGCCCTTCGAACTCTGTCCACGCGCACCCACCACGAGCGTCCCTTTCTCTTCTTCCTCGCCGCTCACGGGGCCGTCCATCCACGTTCAGCGTGGCTCGTTGTCTCCCACAAGGTTTATAGCCCAGCCTAAGCACCCGTGCATTATACTCCATTCACGCCCAGCTGAGACTGCAGTGGAAGCTACACGTGCATTGGACCAGTCGTACCTCGACCCTTCGCCACGTGATCATGCTCTCGCCCTCATCCACACGTGGAGAGCTGGGTCAGGTGATGAAAGGGAGGTGGCTGATGGGTCCAGTGAAAGAGTTGCGTCCACTGCAGTCTCAGCTTAGGGGTGAATGAAGTATAGCCGAATGCCGGCAAAGGGGAGATGAAAGTGTCGTTGGCTTCTTGACGAAACCCCTTCAACAGTAATGCAGATCGGTGCTTTAGCCTGCCTTGGACCAGCTTCACTGGTTACTTCACTTAATCCTGGTATTGGGTGTGGATTTCAAAAGTAGTAGCTTCTAGAACGCTTTTGGAGATTTGTAGATAGATGGTTCCCCCTCTTCCCGCTAGTATCTCACACTTGACATTGCTGAGGTAGCATTATGGGAGACATTTAAGTCTACTCTTGCACCTCTCAGTGCAGTTATATATAGGGTTCCATGTTTTCGGCATATATTGATAGACGTCAAAAAGTGGCCCCTGAGCTGGTTTCATTGAAAGCGGGGAAAACTGAAAAACCCCAAGTTGAGACTGTCCTAGAATAAAAAAATGCAAGCTTCACTGGAAGAAATCTTTGTCTATACTTTTATTTTGGATTGACCCAGAATGGTAGCCCCCGCTGAACTGTCTGCTAGGCTGCAGATTTGGGAACCATACCTTCTACCTCGTCCTTTGTTCTTTTATCGGCCCCGGCTCCCAAGTGCTCTCTAGAAAAATTGCTATGGTTGTGCAGTCAAAGCTAATGGGTGCACGTTCACTCGCGTTTCTTCAGCGCCCATCAAAGCTGTGCATGCACACTTTTTACTTCTTCTGAATGCCACTAAAAGTTGTCTGCAAGCATAGTCACGTGTTATGTTCCCTGGATGTTGGGCACTGCCATGCCCATCTCCTGTTTCCTTCAGTATCAATCCCAATAAACTGACTTTTTGTCCAATACTTTAAGTAGAAAAATCCACGAGAACCCCCTAACTAAAAAAAAAAAATTGAACACCAAAAACAGGGAACCATGTACTCACATTCACCTAAGAACCGTAAAAAAAAAAAGTCCGGTCCTCGTGGAACGTTACCAGTTTCCCCCTTCCTGCAATAAATTAAGATATATGGAGGTGCATCCTACGTTAGCTTCATGTCACTTTATCGAGATGCGCATGTTTCAAACGCAGAAAGCGTTGTTTCCTCTATTGACGACCGATTCTCGTACAAACTACTTCGGGCACTGTACAAATAATGTGCAAACTTCCCATCTTCACGACAAACTACTGCCTCATCATTATGTGGGCACACATTTGCAGCCACGACGGCCTCTTCCCCCGTGCGGCTGACGCGGAGCGACCTGCGCTGGGAGACGGTGCTGGCATGCAGCCTGGGGCCCGTGGTGGGCATGGCTGGCCTGCTGCTGGCAGCCTGGTGGGTGTGGCAGCGGCGCAAGCTGCACCACGCCCCCTTCGCCCAGGTGCCCACAGCCGAGCCCACCCCGCTGCCCTCGCCCCTGGTGCCCCCCCGCTCCCTGCAGCTCATCGAGGTCAAGGCCCAGGGCCGCTTTGGGGCCGTCTGGAAGGCCCGCTATGGGTCGCAGTACGTGGCCGTCAAGATCTTCCCGCCCCAGGTGGGTGGGCACGTGCTTCGGGGTGTGGTGCCTTAAATGCGGTGTGGCGCCCGAAACGCATCTCAGACCGGTACGTTTACCGCTAAGGCCCCTCCCTGCCTTTACCGTAAGATCCCGAAAGATAGCCCACTCCTATAGTAATAGTAATGTTGTGATCAATGATGGCCTCGGCGTTAATGCAAATAGTTAAATACGGCGGGTTATAAGCAAATGTTGATGACTGGAAAGTACAGTCATTTTTGCTTTGTTGCCCCTCGCCGTCATAACAAGCTTGGGAGAGGCACAACCTCGAAATAGCAATTTTTAAAACTTTTCTTGGTTGTACATTGAAAGTTAGCCCACTCCATATTTTCAGCCGATTTGCTCTTGATGTTAGGTGGGCTATCTCGGGATTTTACGGTAGGGTGGCCACAACGTTTCCCGCGCCGTAAAACAAAACTAGAAAAATCTGCGCCCGCACGTAGAGAAAGCTCAAACTTTCACCGAGTGTAGGTTTGGGTAGTGGGTTTTATCCTGTGAAATTTTGGTGCATAGTTCTCGTCCTGTAAAAAAATGAGACCAAGAAACATTGCAAAGTCAACAGTGGATATGTGCGCAGACGACCGATTTGGCGATGAATGTTACTTGTGGTGCCGTCTCCCGATGGGTGCAGCTAGCAGGCAACGAAGTGCCTCATTTGCTTGCTACGCCTTTAAATCTAGATCCTGGTGGGGACACAGCAGCAGAGGTGAATGCGGCAGACGCCTGTTCTGCTTCTACAGAATCATAGCTTCCAGTACACAAACACTATACTCCGTTCACCCTTAAGCTGAGACTGCAGCCACTTCCACAAGCACGAGAACTTGAGGTTGCGGCTTTCAAGCTTTCTCCGCAGGGCAAGCTCTTGCCCTAGAAATCCATGTCTCAAAGCCAAGAGCACGGGCCAGCTCGCGCTTGTGGCTGCAGTGTCAGCTTAATAGGGGGGACATTACCCAGAAAAAATGATACCTAGTGAAGAAAAATGTCGGATATTACATTAGTTTTTTAAGGATAGTTTTCTAAACAATGTCAGTGTGCTCCCGATAACGACTATAATTTCTTTCACAATTTATGTACACAGATGAAACTTTGCACTGCATGCTACCTCACCACTGCCAGTATATACTGTGAATTTCATTCATATTCAGCTGAAGGTTCGAAAGTTGACCCCTTTTGTGTGGTGTCCTCCCTTAACATGGTATAGCCTAAAACTCTGCATGCGTACGGGCCAGCCCACAGGTCGTGCTCGGGCTTCGCATCTACACTCATGAAGGGTTCGGGCCGGGTGAGGCCTTGCATTCAAGCCTACATGGCGGGCCAAAGCAAGCCGGGCTGCGTTTATGTGTGTTTGTATATAGCAACATGTGTGTGCATTTGTATATTTGTTTGTACGGTTTGGTGTGTGTGTGTGTACTGAATGCTCTTTCAGAGCTCCAGTGGCACGGCATTCATTTTCGTCGCGCCCCCGTCGCACGGTTTCTTCTCCCCATCAACACGCACACATATGCGCCTAGACAATGCTCACCCTCGCAGGCGTAAACCATCTGTATGTACGAGTGCATGCATCCACAATGTGGGCGAAGAGGTTTTAAGGGTGGTTTTCCTAACCAATTTCTCCCAGACCACCGCAAAAGACGGCATATTTTTTTCTTCTTGTACACAGTGGAAGTGGGCAGTTTAGAATCTTTCCCGTCTTTTGTTCGAACCCGTCGCAACGTTCCCTTTCCTTTTCAATATTGGCATATGGTTTTATTTACTGTTGCTTGCCATTTTTATTTCTCCGTCCTTTTCAATACGTGGGTTTGGTCTCAAAAAAGGACGATGGTGGTGATTTTTTTTAACGAGCTGCCTAGGCATGCAGATCGGTCCTACAAATAATAGCAGCAAAAGTAAAAGAAAAAAGATGCTTACCGTCTTGGTTATTAGGTACCGTAGTCAACATGTGTAGCAGTGGCAGGCGAACTGCCACGCCTCTCCATTTATGAGGTATTTTTACTGGGCGAAAACAAAGCGGGCCTCTGTGGACCCGTTAAAATTAGCGTGGGGTGGGGCGGGGTCGGCTGTTAAAAGGGGATAGCAGGCCATGGGCGGGACTGGGCTCAACAGACAGCGGGCCAGGCTTTTAAATGTCGGCCCGTGCAGACCTCTAGTGTAACCCCCTCTCTATGTAAGCACAATTGATATGATCTGAACTTGAAACCAAGCTAGTGGCCAGGAAAATTACGGGCTTGGACTGGCCTTTGCCGTGACCAAGTAAGGCATTAACCACCTATCTTTTACTGGTGTTGACAAGGCAGCCCCTCTTTTTTTCTCAATTGTCTAAAATTTCAAATGAAACAGGAGTGCCCTCTCTTCACGAGTGTCCCTGTGCCTTGAACAGGTGTTTGCGAGCTTTTGGGCCATTCTAACCTAGAACATCAAAGTTTACTTTATAACTCTGTTTTTTTTTTTTTTTTTTTTTTTTTTTTTTTACTGGCAAGTGTTTTTTGGATTTTGTTTTTCAGATTTATCCAGAAACATGGCACCCCATAATAGACCATGAACTAATTTCACTTCAGCAAGTGCTCACACCAAAATAGCGTCAACATTAGGGTTTCATGATTTTAAGTGGATGCTTTTTGAGCATGCGTATGGTGTGCTGTTGCCGTTCGTGCTTCTGTGAACACTGCTGTCCTAGTTCTAGTAAGTTGAAATAGTAAAGAAAAATTTGAGAAAATAGAAGAAATTAGGAACATACTTACTCTAGATGTTGCAAGTAGATAAATGCACTATAAACCCTTTCAGGCAGCAGTTCATGGGCTTCATACTTAATATCAAGGCGCCAATGGTTCAATGCTGTGTGCATCGAAATTAAGTATAAACTGCATGTAAGCAATTTGGCGAACGACGAGACAAGCGACGGCGACCCGCTTTGCTGTCACTCGGTCAGTCGCGCGATGAAGCAAACCGCATGAAAGCGACGGGAGCAAGCGACCAAGACGGTGAGCGACGTTTTCTAGAAATCCAAAAACCGAGCGACGCGACGGGCAACACTGAGAAGTCTCCGTCGCTCGTCGTCGGCGCCGTCGCTCGTCTCGTCGCACGCTAAATAGCTTGCATGCGGTTCGGCTTTACGGAAACAAGCGCGCACATATAGCGAGAAGCACAACTTCGATGCCTTACTGCGTCAGTTGAAATTTGCATATGCCGCAAAGGTGTTGACTGCCCTTTATTAGTGACAAAAATGTAAGAATATGATGAACTTACATGGTCTATGAAGCTTAGGCCACAATGTTGTATGGTCGATCCATTCGCTGTCCGATTCCATTTCATAAAAAAGAAAATACAAGAGCTATGTTGAAATATAGATATCAAATGATTAAATGAAAGCCTGAAATATCAAGAAGACCCAAAGAAAACACACGAATTCCACGCGGAACGTAAAAGAACACGAAAACAAAGTTCCGGTGGTGGCCAGTGCAGCACATAACGCGGAACAGCGGCGAGAAACTGAAGGTTGGCTATGGTGGCCCGGAAAGCGTGCGGAGGGCGCGCCGAGTAATGACAGCTCGAGTAACTGACTCGCTGAAAGCGTCTATATCATTACCACACATGAAAATCTGTTGGCCGTGTTTACTGCCGATCAGATTCGCAGAAATTCTGAAAAGCAACAGAAATTTAGAAAAGGTGGCACGTGGCATAATGTGACACTAGTTTGTTTTGAACCTCACAGTATATTGTTTTTCTAATTTTGAGGGTCGGTTCTTTGTACACTCATCTGCCTCTTTCTTAGGCCTTGTTCCTTTCTTCCTGAAAGGTCACATTGTTTCTTATGTGCACATTACCTGTAGGGATCTCTTCTCACGGCGTCTTCTGTGTCGTCTTCTTTCAGGACAAAAACTCCTGGGCTGTGGAGAAGGACATGTACAAACTTCCCCAGATGAAGCACGAAAACGTGCTGGCATTCCTCGGGGCTAGCAAAAACGGGGACAACCTGCACGTGGAGTACTGGCTCGTCACCGAGTACCACGAGCGGGGATCCCTTTCAGATCACCTCAAGGTACAGTTGCCATTTCCCTTTTGCAGCTCTTACAGGGTTTTCCCAGCCGCCTACGCGGCTTCGGCGCTGCGCCGGGCAGAAACCCCGTTTCGCGTGCACCGCCCTGTGATGTTGGGCAAAGCGTATGCGCTCGACTCTTCTTCTTGCCAGGCACGTTGCTCACCAAAAGGCTCGGTTTGCACGTGCTATCAGATGCGAAGCGATTCATCGCTCGTAACGGTAACCGCCTCGATTTAGCCAGACAGGGACGTCGGCATTTCCCTATACTGGCTGTGTTAGCAAAGAGTTTAAAAAATTCCTACCAATAGCTGAGCAAACTGTCAGCCATGGTGGACGTCGGGGAACGCAAAAAGCATACTAATTAGCTAAATAATGATATAAAATGTACTAATCAACTTTTTACCCGGTGAAAATAAGCAGTGCCGGGAGGGGAGAGAGAAATCTGAGGGGGAGGGTGTTGGCAAGGTGGAAAGCCAAGTGCAGTGGTTTACATTACTATCGGTGGGGGGGTCTTTTGGCAGTCGGGGGTGATCTGGTGTGCCACCTTTCAGGCCCACCTGGTGAGCTGGGGGGAGGTGCTGAAGATTGGGGAGTCAATTGCCCGGGGCCTGCGGCACCTGCACGAGGAGCTGCCGGCCAGTAAGTTGGAGCCGTACAAGCCGGCCCTGGCCCACCGGGACTTCAAGAGCAAGAATGTGCTGCTCAAGGCCGACATGACTGCCTGCTTGGCAGACTTTGGCCTCGCCCTCGCCTTCCCCTGGGGAACCTCTCCCGGCGAGGCACACGGGCAGGTGAGCTTCGGTGCTTTGTTTGTCTTCGTTTTTTTTAAGACGCGAGGTCTAAATAAAAACAAACGAGCCTCTGGTCCTCGGGGGGCTTTGACCTGCTCTGTTTAGCCATTGGTGACCGATTGATGCTCTAGGTCACCAATAAACCTGTTGAAAAACATGCATACAGTGCCGTTTGTGGCGCTAAAAGGAATGTCAGGGCGACCATGTACAGAACTGGTTGTAGCAGATGGTGGAGGCGTTGGAGAAAGTGCGGGCGAGTGGACGAGGGCATGCGAGAAACTGCACTACCCTCTTTCCTCTTTCTTTCTCGCTCTCTTCAGTGTCGCGTGGCAGATGCTTAGGGGGGCAAGGAGTGTACATACAAGATTTTGTGTGCACTTTTGCCATTTTTCGCAAAAGGTGTATTGGCAGAAGGGTGCAAATAGGGCCAACCATTCCAAGTTGAAGGAGCACCGACCTGGGATTTGTGCTTATGTCTGGTTCCGAGCTACGTAGGTGTCTTGCCCTTTCGGATGAAAGGAGAATTGCAGTACAGATATTCAAGTTACCATCATTTAGCAACTGGACACAAGCCGAGTAACCCTGCTTTAATTGCTGGGTATTGAATGTATTGGCTAGGTGCATAGAGATTTCTATTTGGCGTGCATATTTGCTCTTAATTTGTGTTTCTATGGATTTTCACTTGTATATTGAAGAGGCTGGGAATAGGAGCTTTGTTTTTAGCAGAATAATGCCATAGTGGGTACTTTGGGACAGCTGTGCTTACTACACACTGCAAATACACCAGTGCGTACCAACAGCTGCGTTGGCACTTGCATAGATGTCTGCCATATTTTGTTGAACCTGAACTTCATCCTTTTCGGCTTATTACTAGTAGGCAGGCCTAGTGTAGACAAAAGGAATATCTTTAGCAAATATCAGGTGCTGGATTTTAGCTTCTTAAATACATTTTTGTCCACCTCCTTACTTGCCTGCTGTATGCACAAGGTGTCAGTTCTTTGTCATTTGCAGTGATGTGATTGCTGCGCCAATTGCGCCAATTGCGCCAAACTGCGCGAAGGGGCTAACCCTGCTGCATTTCGTCAAAATATGGGTAATCTGCGCCAAGTCTGCGCCAAAAAAAAAAAAAAAAAAATCTTTGCCGCCTTTTAAGATTGAAACTAAACTGAGTACCGTAATTAAGCATGCGTGTGTTTTGTGGCACAAGCGGCTGCCCAACACGAAATACCCTGCATCAACCGTCCATCCGGTCTCGCATGGTTTTCCCGCCGTCTCGCTTTTCGCGCCCTCGTTGTCTTGTGGGTCTCGTCTCGCATCATTTTTTTAAATATCTTCAACGATAGACACGGGTGTGCGGACACTCCGACGCTAGCATGCCGGGTACCAGCCATGCCATCATGCTGTAAAACGAAACCACTTTTTTGGAGGGGGGGGTTACTTTGTGAGCTGAAGCACTCGCTCCTAAAAGCAACGGCCATGGGAAAACTATATTTGGTCCCTGTCTAGCAGTCGCCGTAACCGTGTGACATCGGGTGTTACCGTCCCCACGTCGCTGCAGATGTGGCCCTTCCTAAAATGAAACTAAGTACTGCCACATGTTCATCAACATCCCTGTTCTTGTTTAAATCACATGTTTCTACAAAAATTCCTCTTTTACTCAAAAACTGCTGTGTCTAAGTATTGATTACCTAGGTTTTTCTCGGGGGGGGGGGGGGGGGCTGGCTGGCTTTCTTTCGAGAGGAACTCCGGTGCATGAAAAATCTGTCGCAAAAGAAAGTTGGTGAAGAGAAGTAAGCTAAAGCAAAGAAGGCAATGTCTGCATCCTGAACCCGCACAGCGCGCTTGTTTGTCTCGAGTTCAGTCGTTGCACAAAGCGCTCCAAGAACTTTTTGGCCCAGGCTCGCGATGTCTGCATCAATGCACTCAGGTTCTTTTTTTTTTGTGTGTGTGTGTTTAGCTTGTATTTTGTTTGCCGGCCTGGGAAGCACGCGCTGCTGGACTGTTTCTTGTCATATGCTCAACAGTTACATTTTGCATACAACTTTGGGAATCAGTTGGCGACAGAGCGGAGTGGCATGCTTTCGGTTTCGATCGGGCAGCTGTTGTCTCCACTTGTGCAACGAAGCAGCGATATTGCAAGCCTGCTGAAGTTGCCCTCACGTGCATGCGAACATGATTGCACGACAGAGGCACCAGCAGGGAGGCTTGCAATACGTTGCTTTACGTTTGCTTACTTTTCACGAAAATCGGGCACTTCGGGAACCAGTAAAACGGTGGCAAGCAGTTTTTCCGAATTGCTCGGCAACGCCTACAGCACCGTACACTTGTGGTGGGATAGCTCAACAGTAAAAACACAAGCAGCGAGTTCCGTCAGAATACGTCGCATCAGAACACAACACAACACAAACTTCCCTTCGTACATCACTTAAAACTAATATTTTTAGTTTTCTGAGAATATCTGCTCCAAAAGCCATTTTGATGCTCCGAAACACTGTCTTGGCTGTTCCAAAAGCGACTTTTCTTGTTCCAAAACGCTGTTTGTTTGTTTTTTTGCTGCAAAGACCACAATTGCTGCCCCAAAACACTGATATGGCGGCTCTGAAAGGTGCTCCAAAATACCTTAGGCCAATCACATCACTGCATTTGACAAAATGTTCTTTATTTGATCCAATATTTGCGAGGGCAAAAGTCTGTACCAAACAGGTAATTCTCAAATTGGATCCCCAAACTGTTTGAATGTTTGCATACCGCTCTCTTTGTTTCCACCTGTGGTGTCCATCCCGGCATTGCCTGTACCTATCTCTGCTGGCTGCTCGTGTTGCAGGTGGGCACACGCCGGTACATGGCGCCGGAGGTGCTGGAAGGAGCCATCAACTTCAGCCTGGATGCATTCCTGCGCATCGACATGTACGCCTGCGCCCTGGTACTCTGGGAGCTGGTGTCGCGTTGCTCCGCCCAAGACGGCAAGTGCCTGCTCCTCTCCCCTTCGGGCTGGACAACTTCTAGAGGCCTCGTTGGTGCGAGCGAGTGTTTGGAGCGTTGAGCAAGCTCTTCTTTTTAAGACCTCCCTGGCATCCAACCCCCAAGCAAGCTGTGAAGGAAAAAGCTCAGTTGTGACATATTTCTGTATCTGAAGAGACTTGCTGACGCTCCTACATTTCATGCAGGTCTACAGCTAGCTGCACTCACAGTGCCGCTTTTGTTTTTTTTTACCAAAAGGCAGTGGCTACTTCGACGTCCGCGTTCAAAATTATTTTAAGTATTTGATGTACGAGACAACACTTCCTAAAAACATGAAAATATTTTCCAAATAACTTTGATGTCCCCGTCAAAAAAAGGATTTTTAGTTATTTTGATGTTTTGACATGACAGCTTCAGAGTCCAGACTGAGAAGTCGAAAGGGGCCGTAAAAAAAAATATCTTGCTTGCGGGCAACGGCACAGTTCAAAGCGTTGTTTTTGAAAACAAATGTCATGCAGTCGACTGCAGTTTTCATGAAGTGACTGAGAATGCAAAAAACTTCTCAAAGCAACATCAGCTAATCAGGCCACACGTAACATTTGCTTGGTCCTACTGAACATTACAGAATGTGTCACCGTTGCTTTTCATGATTTATTTCACGTGTTCTATATAGACAAAGGAGCTGAAACTTGTGTAATCAAAATTGCAGTTGATTTGACGACATTTGCTGTCTGAAAATATGTAATCTCGTACATCTCCGGCGCAAATTGCAGTACGCGATTTTTTTTTTTTTTTTTCATATTATTTAACATTTTTATTGTTTTGTAGTTAACTTGCTCGTTACCCACAAACCAAAAAGGAAATGTTAACTAAACAATGAACCCTTGACACCCGGTTAAAAACAGGGTGGGAGCCAGGTGCAAAACAACCTTTCAAACGTACGAGGACGCACTTGCACAGAAGTGAAGCATGGAGGCACAAAAAGCGTACTAACTCTCGGTGTAACATAATCTATGCCCTTACATGTGTATGTGAATTATATGTTCTTTGGAAGTTGCTATTGTAACATCGCTTCTCCCCATCAACATGCACACATACGTGCTTACACCATGTGCACGCTTGCTGGCGTAAACCATCTGTACATATGAGCGCATGCATCCAGAATATGAGTGGAGAGGTTCCCCCGAGGAGTGCTCTTCCTAAACAATTTCTCGCCGGCCACCGCAAAAGGCTGATATTTTTTCTATACATTTTTTTTCGGTAGTATGCATTGCAAGGGACAATTTAGAACTTTTTCTGTATTTTGTCCAAACCCGTTGCAATGTTTCCATTGTTTTTCAACTTCGACACAATTTTGCTTACTGCTGCTTGTCGTATTTGTTTTTCCGTCCTTTCCGCGCGGGTTAGGTTGCAGAAAAGGACGATGAAACGTGCTGCCTAGGCCCGTTGATTGGCCCGACTAATAATAGCAGCAAAAAAAAGAAAAAAAAAAAAAAGATGCTTACAGCGTTGACTATCGGTTACCGTAATCAACATATCTGTAGCAGAGACAAGCGAGCTATCGTGCCGCGCAATTTGTGGGCTATTCATACTGGGTTAAAATAGGGCGGGCCTTAGCGAGCCCGTGAAAATTGTCAATAGGCTGGGCCGGTTCAAGCGGCGGGCGGGTCCGAGCCCAAGAGACAGCGAGCCGGGCTGGGCCAAGCTTCTAAATATTGGCTCGTGCAGACATCTAATATCCAGCTCGCCTTTGCTGGGGACTCGATATTTTAAGCGAGACGCATGCTGAAATGACATGCGAGAACTCAGAACATCGCCGCCAGACGTGTTTGGTCCGAAAGGATAAACTGTCCAGCCAGTCAAGCACACATACGCTGAATCAGATTTCCAGTGCCAAGTTAATACCGAAATTTCTTTGACACGCGACAAAGCGACACATGACTCTGTCAACGCAGCACAGACAGCACCATTAAAAACCAAACAGAATCAAACTGACGAAACCACAAAACGGCCACCAGCACTACTGCGACGGCTGCATCCACAAGAGCCGTATAAATAATAGACTTTATTGTGACGTTTTATGCAAGTGAAAAGACACACACAAACACACGTACGTCGAAATAATTTTTTTAGACATTTCGATGGTGGATGTCGAACTCCCTGCCTTGCCAAAACCAACAATTTCAGGTCTCAAAGCGTGGTAAGAAATCGGATGCGTTGGAATAAGCAGTGGCACGTTAACAGGAATTGACTCTTTGTTCTTTTTTTACCTTAATAATTTAATCTTTAAAAAAGGTGCAGAGTTGAGTCAAGTTAGGGAACTGCACTTTGTGAATGCTTTACGAGGTCCTGTCGAGGGTACTGGCTTGGTGACCAGGCCGACACTCGTCCGACGTTTCCTATTTCTCCGGGAACAGGTCCCGTGGACGAGTACATGCTGCCCTTTGAGGAGGAGGTGGGACAGCATCCGACCCTGGAGGACATGCAGGAGGCGGTGGTCAACAAGAAGGTGCGGCCCCGCATCAAGGACCACTGGAGGAAGCACCAGGTCAGTCGCTCCACACAATCGGTCGGTTGGATCACGCACGGTTGGGGAAAACATCCTCAATTTTCTAACAAGGTTGCACCGGTCTTACTTACGCGCATTCATGCCTCCAGCATCTAATAGAGGTTAACCTCCCTCTTTCGAGGTGTACCTATTTTCTGCCTACACGAGATGCTACCTCGGAGCGATGCGAGCGTTGCTGCAGACAGCAAGTTGGCGAGCTACATTCCCCTCTCCTGTAGATGGCATTTGATAATCTCGGAAGATTTGGAGGCCCTATACTTAACCACCCGATACAGGGACCGGCATGGGGCCATACTCTACCCAGGGTGTCTAGCGACTGAAAAAACCAGGAATTGTCAGGGAAATTTTAATTACCAGGAAAAATCAGGGAAGTGTCAGGGATACTGTCAAAAAGCGAGTCCAGTCAAGGAAAAGGAGCCGGAAACGCCATCTAGTGCCCCGAGCCAAGAGTTGAGGACTTGGGGGCAGAAAAATAGGCAATACATTGTGCTTAGAGCGAAGCGCATGCTTTGCTCGCCCGATGTAGAGTGTGCTACCCGATGCATAGGGAACAGCCAACACATCCAGTCCAAGCCTCGGATTGGATTGGATTGATGGCGTGACACTAGGCTAGAGATCTAGTTAGAGCTACTAGATGTAGTAACAAATGGAAAAGCCGCAGACCCTAATCGAAGCCTTAAGCCGAAAGTATCCGAAAGTGCGCATCTGGTGGCCATGCTGCCATTTGGTTATTGACGTAAATGGTTGAGCGACGTGTTTCCGGAAGTGGCCTTTTCGCTGACAATGTCGGCGGCAAGAAAGTGCTCGTTTAATCCGGACTGGACGAACCCAAATATTTTGGAATATGTAAGTTGGACTAAGCCCGTGCAAAATGATCCCCACAGGGCTCAATGGCTTGTGTTGTAATGGTTTTGTATATTTAACGCCTCAGCAGTGGTCATGAAATTTCGCCTAAAATTGTCCGGGAATTTCCAAAAAAATAATTTGCTACCGCCTTCGGGCTGGCTGCGAGTACTCCGTAACCGATGCCACGGCTAGTTTTGCCACAGTCATGCCCGAATCGTAAATCTGTTGTATACTATTCGTTTTTGTATTCATGTCGAGGGAATAGACTACTTCCAAAAATCTCCGTGTGCAAAGCCACGCGCGTTGCATTATGGGACCCATTTGGCCATAGAGAGGAGTGGCACGGTTTTGATTTCGATCGCCCTGTTAACAAAGTAGTGCATCTCGGCACTGCGTCAAAATAATGTGGTGCTCGCCCTCATTTGCACCCATTCGACTTGGCGAGAGCCCCCGTTGAAACACTGCCCTTCGGTCGCTGTGAGGACCTGCGCAGATGTAGCGAGGAGTAAGAGTCCGCGTCCCATTCTTTTCTGGCAGCCTGGCTTCCACTTCAAAGTGCAGCATGACCCTCCCGGCTCGCAGATAATTTAAGCAGCCTAGGACATCGAGGAAACCATGAAACAGGACAAACGGCCCAGTACGCTTGTTCCATGTACCATCGTAGACGTGTTTGCCTGCACACAAACTCTGGCACGTTGGGAGCCCCAAAAAAAAAGAGCGATAGCATTTTATCCGAATCGGTAGGAAGAAACATAAATATAAGAAAATTGCATATTCGAAAATGTGTGCGCTGTATTTGGTTGCGAGGGGCTGTCATGAATGAAGGTTGACAAATCGAAACCTACAGCCCGGCGGCCAAGAGGTTCACGAGGGGCTTTACACGGCACTACGCCGCTGGGATTGCTTCGATTTTGCGAGTCTATTCGTACAATAGCTTGGAGGCAATTACCGCTTTTTGAGCTTATTATTATATTGTTTGAGCGTTGTGGCCGAAAGGTCCTGTGCACCTTTTTGGAGGGGGTAACGTCACTTGCCGTCCAGGGACTGGCTCTGCTGGGGGACACGATCGAAGAGTGCTGGGACCACGACGCGGAGGCCCGGCTGTCTGCCAGCTGCGTGGAGGAGAGGATATCCTTCCTCTACAAGACAGTGCCTCCAACCCCGAGTGGTGAGCCACCTTTAAGATGCTCCGCGGCTGTATTGCGCGGGCCCGCATTCGTCTCTTACCGCACCCATGGGGACGAGCAGAACGCAATTACCGGGTGCCTCCGGTCCATTCCGACTTAGAGCGTAGCAAAGTCTGCAAGTGAATGAGATAACTATACTCTGTGACAACTTTTCTTGGCAATGCAGTGGAGAGGAGGAGAGCGCGTGCACAGCTTTATTCAGTGCTCAAAATGGGAGAGGGAACCTGTACCCTCTACTGCATTGCCAAGAAAAGTTGTCACCGAGTGTAGGCCGTGGACTTTTTGGCGTCAATTTTTAAAGAAAATCGGCGGATGTGTTTTTGCGTTTATTTATTTTTCAAATATCGGCATATTTTAGTGATTTGTTCCGAACAGAATGTCGATTATCGTTGACAAATTTATCACGAAAAGTTAAGAGTTATAGGGGAGGATTTCGACAAAAACTGTTTTAACTGGATGGAGCAAAAATTTACCGATATCGGTGTCTTGCATTTTTATTTAGACACTCATTTGTTTATGGGTCATTTCCCGTTAAAACCTATTCAGTATTTTTTGACGCCGACGAACGTTGGGTTTCAACCGGCCAGCCTACGACCTAGACACAACCGGCTTCCCCGGTGTTCCCGCCGCAGAGGTGCCCCTGCTGCTGCCGCCGGGAGACGAGAAGGGTGCGGATGACGACTGCTGCGTGCCCGTGGTGAACATCAAGAGTGCTCTGGAGACGTCGGTGCTCCTGCCTCCCAAGGAGTCTAGCATCTGAGGGCAATGCCTGCCTCGAGAGTCCGCAAGCTCCCCGGGGGACGGCCGAGGAACAAAGTGCCCGGGCCGTGTTGGACCCTATCGCCCGCACCGGCGTCCTCTGTGCGTGAGAGCGGCAGTGCGTGTGCGCGCGAAGTGGGAGGAGCAGTTCCACGGGTGTTTCGCATCTAGTCAGGCAGGCGGGGGCGGGGAGCCGGGAAGCGGGGAAGCGCTCCCGCCTCCACAACGCTGGGTATCATCCGCCTCCCCGCCGAGCTCTTCTCGAGAGGTCGCCTCGACCCGTTCGAGCCCCCACTGCAGGAACTGGACGTTTTTTATCCTTTTGTTTTTGCAAAAAAGAGAGAAAGAGGACTATTTATGGTTTTTGCAGCAGTCAACCGATCGACGAAAGATTGTGGCCTCGGTGCAGACTGCCTTTCAATGTCTGTTGCTCGGTGCAGACAGCTTCTATTTACATTGTGGAGCCTCTTATTTTAAAAAGCCGACAGAATCCTCAGAACAAGCTCTCGAGGTTTTCTCGTAAACAATAACAGGGTCATGAAAGAAAAAAACAAAGAAACGAGTTTGCATTGGTTGTTGCGCGGCGCTGTACTGCGAGGCAAGAGGAATGTTGTAAATTTGAGTCTTGTTTAGGTCGTGGGTCTGCTTGGTTGTGGAACATGCTGCAAGATCACAGTGGCCCCCCCCCTTTCTGTCGCTGTATGCTAAACATTTAAGCTTGCTAATGTTGCGAAAAAACATTGCCGCAAATTATTCACTTTGGCATATGCTCTTTTGTTTTCTGCATACTTAAGCGATTTTATTTTTCCAGGCTCAATATTTTGAAAATTTTGCTAGGTGTCGGTTTCAGGAATGTTTTGCGGACACAAAATTTCGTGATTAGGAGCGATATGCATTGTATTTTATATTATAGTGCGATATGTTCACGTGATCAATTTTTAGCAATATTTTCTCGGTCGCGAAAATGTTCCAGTTCACATGCTGGATTCAAGAAGAGAAGCTTTTATCAGGAAAATCGAAATTTTCTTCAAAAGCAACTTACTGAGCACCCCAAATTCGTGCGTTTGGGCTTCGAGCCATAACAGGCTCACACTACCGTCTGCATTGGCTTAATTGTCATCTTACTGGGCCGTCCAGTTTTGTTGCATAGGCCAGCAATTGGCACATTACTCTAAAGTATATTGCAGATGCTGACTCTGCAACGATCCTTTGCATTCCTGCAAAGTGTTTTGGTTAGCGTGGCCCAAGATTTGCCCCGGGGCAATGTTTTCTGGCTCGTCCGTGAAAACTCTGGATATTAACGGTCATATTTCCGAGGGGGGTTCCACTTTGTTGGACACAAAGACAAAGAAAGGAATCTTGAATGCATGTGCATGTGTGAATGCATTCTCTACATCTTGCATTGATATAAAGAGTATAAGCCGATTTTGTTTTTATATTTGTTGCTGTTACATGTGACCTGCTCGTCTTGTTTTCTCACGGTGATTTGTACAAGATACAAAGGTGCTGCTTGACCTTAGTAGAAATCGTTGGTCCTATATGTATCTTCATGGCATTTACGATTGGTAAACTCCAGCCTAAATCATGAGTCATCAAGTTTGTGCTGGCAAAAAAGGCCTGGAAGCTGGGCCCCATTCATAAACAAGTTGTGTAATCGGTGTTAAAATTTAAAACAGCAGGCACCTAAAGATGCAGCTTTTGACGTTGAGAGATTTTCCTCTGATGCAATTGTGTAGCCAAATAACCATTCAGGCTTTTCGTGTAATTCAAGAAAGTTTGTGTTTACGGGTAGCCACCATTTTTTCTCATCTCATTTCATCTCGCATCCTCATTGAGACCTGGGAAGCATTGGTTTGTTTTCTAGGAAGCAGTTGCTTACAAGGGGGTGTCCGTGTGAATACAACAGCTACGTTTCTGGAGGGGTGCACTATGAGGCATGCTAGGCATTGGGTATGGCACACCAGGTTGTTCTAGCATAGTGTAGGCACACTCAGTTATAAATTGGAACTTTGCAAAAATCTATGATTCGAGTGTCCCCCACTGGCAGCAAGCTGCCTTCTGGATGTGATGTGCTTTCCTCGTGGCAGCCGTTCTGCAGCGCATAAAGGGGCAGTGCAACGATCTTAACATTGACAGACCATCTTCCCCCGAAAAACTGCTATTCCGCTGTGTAATTGCAAAGGAAAAAATGAATTATTTCCAACCTGCAGCCACGTGCGGCGGTTACGGTAACTACGGTGGCACGTCACGGTGGTACTCGTGGAAGTCAACAAAACATGTCCCTCTTTGCTGCTACACTGGCCAGCAGCCCCGTGGCGAATTGTCTTTTGTGTCGTTCAGTCGCCGCGACCTTTGGCGATGCTAATCCTTGAAAAGTCAATTGCAGAAGGAGCGATGAAGAGAGAACTCACGGAAAACCAGGCGTTTCCCCAGAGAAATCATTCAAAATATTGCGTGAGAGTTGAGGGCACTTTGACCTTAGATTTCTTTAATTTCTAAAATAAAAACTGATGTGTGTATGTTATTGATGATTTATGTACAATGAGCTAAAAAAACAGACATTTGTCAAGGTGTGCTGTGTAGGAGAAGGTTTTCGTGCCAACGAAGCACCTGGGGCGGACTATACGCCTTTCCAAGAAATATCGACCCCAGGGCCAGGAGCAGCAGACAGTTTTCGAGCCCAGTCACTGGGTATTTTTCTGAGGACATTAGAAAGCATTGTACCACAATTAAAAAAACAAAAAGAAAAAAAAAACAAAAAAACTTGTAAACTATTTCTGTTGGGTATGTGCGCGATAGAACAAAAGCAACTACAAAGTTGTCCTTTTTTTTTTTTTTACATCAAGTTTTGGCGGCGTTGTTGGATTAGTTGTGTGTCAAGCGACAGAGCGCTTAGCTGTCGAAAATTATTTACAACAGAAGATAGCCCAAAGGCATGCATTTTTCACGCTCAAAAATAATGTGTTTACCAATAACCATTATATAAAAAAAATTTATTTGAGAAAGATCTCAAATAACAGTCACAGTCGACGACAGTCACATCTTCACGATCGGACGGAATCCAAGGTGACTTTGTTTTGGGGCACGTTTCGGGTAGAGCTTCCTTTTTTTCACAACAGCACCGAGGCAAAGGAACGAACGCGACTGACCTGTTTTCCCCTTGAACCCGGACAACTATTTTTCGAGATGACTGAGGACTACGCAGATTATCCTTGGGGGGGGGGGAGAGAGAACACGAGGGCCGTTTGACGTCCTTCCCCTCCTTCGTTTCCCGTGAATGTCGAGCAGAGAAGCTTGAATGGCAGGCACTTACCAGCCCTATTTTTCACAGTGGAAGATAACACAGAAAGAGTACTCGGCATGTGTCACAAAAATTAAGTGGAAACTTTCAAGCGGGTTCTGAAAACGTTGAATGCAAAACTGTTAAACATAGGCAGAGAATCGTGCTGGGCAGGTTTTTACAGTCCAAGAGAGTGGCAGAAAATTTCTGGCTGATAGGGGGTGCAAGAGTCTCGCCAGCCGCATCAACATAATCAACATGGCGGCGGCTTAGGAGTGTTTTTTTGGAAAGGTGTATACACCGGGTGCAGACTATAGCCCGGAAAATACGGTAATTGGCCAAAGTCCAAAAATCGTTGCACCGCCCCTTCAAATCAACTAGGTTTAGCAACCTGTCATATTATCCATCACATCTTACTGTCCATGGCACAAAACTTCTGACAGTTGACCACAGCAGTACAAAAAAAACAGCTTTATAAAAGAGCAGAGTGAAACCAAATTCTAATGTTCAATGCAATATACAAGTTTTTTAGCTGCACCAAATTTTAAATAAAAGGGGGAAACTTATATAAATGTGGTTTTCACTGCATGTTTATATGGCTCTGCAGACATTAGACTGATTCAACCATCACTATTAACAAATTGACTAAAATTTGCTAAATAACCTTTTAATTAATTAATTAGGATATGTTTATATTACAACCATTGAAACAGTTGTATGCCAAGACTTTATTTTTTGTAAAATTTGTGAAACCATCCTGTGTTCTCGGACATCTGCCCCCAAATTTTCTACTTATTCCGACTTCTTTTTTCCACTTAATCCGGCAAACCCGCGAAAGTGGGCACTATAGCTGAACTTTGCTACATTAGCCGGATAAAAGCGCAAAATTCGGGGACGAATATCGCGGAACATGGACTACTGGTTACGTGAATTCTACAAAATGGAAATCTTGGCATATAACCAACCGCCTCAAAGTTTGTAATAAAAATATATATTCTAATTACAGTAATTGAAAAGTTAATTAACGAATTTTAGTTACTTAATTTGATAATAGTGAAGGTTATATTCCCATCTAATGTCCGCCGAGCCATATAAACATGCTGTAAAAACCGCATTCATAAAACATTTCTCCCCTTCAAAGATATGTTGCGGCTAAAAAAAACACTGTATAGCAGTCAACATTTGTCTATCTGCATCACCCTTGCCCGATGGTGGAATGCATGGATTGGAATGGCATGATCTGTTGGCGACACAATAAATGTGAACCTAGAGCCAAGGACCCTTGAATCTGGAACTTTCACCACAAATTGGTGTGATGTTGAAGAAAAATTTGACTAATTTGGACACCCACCCATAATCTGGAACAAGCTTCGAATAAGCTGCTAAGAACCAAAATTTTGCATGGCAGCTTTTTATTTTTTTGTATGAACTGCATTTTGTTGCCTTGAACAGTGCATGTAGGAAAGGTTGATGCTCCTTGCAGAAGTTCAGCACGGAGCCTATTTTTCTGGAGGTGCACGCACAAACGGAAGGTACAAAAAAGGGCAGAAAAAAACGGGGAGACTTGCCCATCACTGCCAACATTCCTGTTTGTACAAAGCATGCTTTGGTTCCTTTACAGTCATGTGTTCGATACTTAAGAGGGTGGCAGTCAAGAGGAACTCATTCCAACGCATAGATGTGCCATTTCACAACCCTCGGCTTCTCTCCACCTTCTTTTCTTCCCAGTTTCGGTTTTGTCGCCGAAACTGAAATTCAACCTCATAGTCTCGCAGAAATCTCGTAGCAGGTCTATGGCACCCACAGGAGTTTGTTGTTCAAAACGTGCCAAACGGAGCTTTGCTTCCTCTTTTGTTGACTATGGCATCCTCTGAAAGCCTGACGGGTACCTTCATTGGCCGAATTGGTTCATGCAGCAGGACATTCAGTTGTGCAGTTCCTATTTTGGCGGTTTTGTTGCACCCTCACAAGCTCCCTTCTGCCATCGCATCATCCCTATTTGCATTTTGCCTCATCTAACCGCGGGAGAACAGCTGGCAAGCCCCAGCCATGGATGCGTCCCCCTTATGTCTGGCAGGTACGCAAAAGCCCCGGGCAAGGCGCAGTGGTGGTGGATCACTACTTAACGACAACGGACTTGTCTACCGTCTTTGGAGTTGCAGCTGACGTGTTCGTTGATTGTGCTTACTAAATTGTACAAGACCAGTAGTAGCTTGTTCAGCGAGGAACGAACGAGCGCCGTAATGTAACCAGACTAATTCTGGGCGTTTCGTTGGTTCAGCTGTACACATTGTGTGTGTGCGTGTGTGCATGTAAGACTGAGAAAGCCATGTCGGATATGAATTTGTCCCTTGCGGAAGCAACTTCTGTTGTATGTAGTATTGACGACAAAGAAGGACTGAGAGACAGTGCAGGGATAATACTCTCAAAAGTCCGCTCTGCAAGCTCGTGGCATCTGGCGGCTTCCCTCACCACCGGCAGCTAGAGTACAAACCAGTTTGTTTCTGTAAATAAACATGCATACAGTAATGGAATACAGGCACGTCAGGATCTGGTGACATAAAGCAAAACCAGTGCCGTTTTGCTCGAGGACTTGTATCCAGAGAATAGAGGAACAATCCAGTCTGTTTTCTGGTCTCTTGGCAGGTGGATGTGTGCTCCCGAAGGCTTTGCTGAAGCCGAGGCAGGGGTGTGCTTTTGCTTTTCATTCTAGGCTTTTCGACTCTTGCTGAGGCAGCATAAAAGTGAACGAAATCGAAAAGGCTGACAGCTGTAGATGAAAACAAGGTTCTGATAAGTGCCTTTTCGTTCTGCCAACTGTACTTGCTTCCTTGATGGTTTTTCTTTTTGTTTTTATGTCGATCTCCAAAAGAAATCGAGCAAGCCCTTAACTCCTGACACGGGCTTGCAACTGTCTGCCTGGTTAGGGAGAATTCTCGTTTATTTGATGCCTGTCCTTATGTGTAAAAAAAAAAAGAAAATAATCATAAGAGAGCTCATAAGTGCTGCTGTGAAGGAGCAAAATTTTATTTTTAATACCGCAGGTTTTTGTAATTTACCTGATCAAACGGAGTGTTTCACGCTAGTTGGTGTAGTTTAGCTTGTTTTGTCTTGGCAGCATGCCCTTCCTGCCCCCTTTTTTGTCTTGAGATTGTATGTTAGAAGATAATGCTTTTTGGTGTCTTGCTTATGCAATTTTAGAATGACTCGGACTGCGTGAAATAGGGGGCAACGGGGGATGTGTGACGTTTGAACTTTACTGGCTGAAAGCACTAGGCTTTGCCTAGGGGTTAGCGTTTGCCGTCAAGTATACACTGTAGAATCGAGTTTCCGATTGTTTGTTTGTGAAAAGTTTGCAATCATGTTAGCACAATGAGAAGCAAATTTTCATTACTCACCAAACTGTCGAAAACATGATGGAGCAAAATTTTCTCGGCTAAGAGGAAACAAAAATGATAAGGTACTCTTGGAAAAGCAGTATTGGCTGCAGTGTGCTTGAAGTGAGATTCGGTTTGTTTGCAGTAATGGCACTTTGTAATTTGAGCCATGTACAAAACTTGGCAGTGTGCTGGCTAAAGTAGGCTATTTCTCTGGGTTTTGTCCAGCATTACGGAGTGCAAGCTGTGTGTTGGCACCGGCTGTGTGAAGGCCTCAGAAAAGGGTTCCCATGCAAAGGTGCTAAGCATACCTTGTTGCAGTGTACAGATATCCTCATTCCCAAGTGCTGGTTCATCACATTGCCCCTTTGTACATTACCCATTCCTTCTTTTGTTGTTGCAAAACTATGCTTACTCTGTTCAAAACCAAAATAATTTGTGTGCTTTGTTCATATGCCCAGACAGATTTACAATAAAAGGAAACTTATCTACAAAAAGGACCATCTTAATCAAATCTAAATTTGAAAAGTGAATAGAATGGAATGTTTTCACTGCCTGTGAATTGAATATTTTTTTTAACTGTTTATGTTGAAAGCACAAAGGGACCAGTTTGACTTTTTTTTTTTGCTTATCTCGGAAATGCGTTTACGGAAGCAATGTTGGAGATAGGAAAATGCAAGAAGCTCATTCACCAATTCTTTTTTTTACTAATATTACCAGCCAAGATTTAGTCATAATGAAATCAATCCACAAACTGATTAAAAAAAAAAAAAAAAAACTTGCATCAGATTACAGTAATGGAATGTTCCCTTCCCAACCACGCCCTAAAACTTTAATCGAGTTCAGGGTAAGCAGGCACTTTGTGAATCAAAGTTGAATCATGCATCCAGATGTCTGCATTTTGAGACTGGGCAATACGCATGCAAGGGCTTGGCGAAATAGATGTTCAGCAATATCTAGCTAAGCCTCGAGAAAAAGTGCTGAGTAAAATGACACATCAACAAACATATGGCGGTAAAGTATTTGATATGGCTGGTTTCCCAAGGGCAACAGGCTATAATACTCTGTCACTAGTTGCATGCAATACAGGCGAAGGCGACGCCAGGCAAGGGTACAAAGGGGAAGTGTAGGAAGGCTGGGGAAGGAGAGAAACCTTTCTAATGTCCCTAGTGCATTGCCCTCTTCCATTTCGCCTTCCCAGTGCTCCCACTTCTCTCTTTGCCTGCCATTGCCTTCGCCTGCACTGCACACACCATGAAGTATAGAAGTCAGATTGGGTTACGGTATATCTCGAATGGCACACCTTGGCCTGTGTGGTGGTGACATGCAGACCCTACTTATGTGCGATGGAGGTGGATCTGGGTTGTGCAAGGACAGGTGAAGGAGCACTGCAGAAGGTTGAGCCACACTTGCATATTTTATTGATAGTTTCGCGTGATCTGCAATTTGGTACCCAATGGCAATTTTTATTTGTAAGAAACATGCTAAATTCTTACTACAAGTGCTCATGAATACCTTTGGCTAAGATTCCTACTTTTTTCTCAGGAAGAAAGGTAGGGGTAGTCATTTTTTTTCCTCAGCAGTGATGGAAGCGGCAACTGACTTTTTGTAGCAGGCAAAATATTAGCTTCGAGCAGCCACTGACACTTTTGGAGCAGGTGCCAACATGTGTTTGCTCATCGCTTGAAGATGGAAAAGGGATGGCATCGCTACATGGAACGCAGCCATCTTCTTAGAAATAAGGCTCAGGTCAGAGTAAATTCCATTTATGATTGGTATACAAACAAAATTGTAAAATGAACCATAGCAAGACACTTCAGTTGAGATAAGCCTCTCCCCCATTCACAATCGATAGCTCACTTAGCCTGTAAATATAATTCCAGTAAAATGCCAGCAAAAACCAGCATATCCGCCAAGACGTCTATCAATAAAAATATGTCCTCCCAAGTTTTCCAGACCTACAAAACTCAAGAATCCTATATCAAACTGCAAAAATGACCACCCATAAATATTATGAAAGCCTACAGTTGCACTTCAAAAAGGCTTGAGGTACACCTAAGCACTTCTTATGAATTGTGAAAGCGAAAGCATGCATGCCATTCTTCCACTCTCTTATTTATTCTAAGGTGTACTTGCGTTGACGGCGGAGCGCGTGCGCTCCTCGCCGCTCTGACTAAGCGCGGAGTTTTACTGCTATAATTTAAATTATACTTTCTTTGCAAAAATAATCGTGAACATAGGTTTATTTACCGTTTGTCTATATGTGACGCTTTCCATGTGCATTTAACTTGAAATTGGATCAAAGAATCGTTGAGCAAGAGAGGTCCATTTAAGGCTGAATACAAACAAAAAGAAGTGCTTGTTCAAGCAAATCTGGCATTCAGCTTGATCTCTACCTTCACTGCATTCATTAACTATGTAACGTCCCACCCCAACTAAATCGGAATGCAAACGAAAACTAGAAAATTAATGTCCTGTTGCAATAAAGTCAAAACTTAAAAAGAAAAATTTTTTTTAAATTTTCATCTTTTTAGCATGTTTAAACCTTCGTTTGAATTATGCTTCTCAAGTTTTGAACTTGCTAAAAAGATCAAGCCGATTTTTTTTTTTTTTCTAGTTTGGCAGGGACGACAGCAATAAAAGTAGGGTGACCGCCCGTTCTGCGAGTTGCGGAACTGTCACGCATTGAGCGCTCGCGTCCCACGAGAAATTCTAGAATCTTCAAAATGTCCCGCATTTCACACTATCGTAAAATTCACTCTGCAACTCATGGAGCCGCCGAACAACGGGGCACGGGGAAGTGCAAGTTTGCTGGTAATCGTATGAATTGCAATGGTATGCCATTTTATATATCGTCATTCTTGAAGGAGAACCGACGTGCATGTTCCGCTGTGCCTCTCCCCTTGGTGGCAAACTTTTGTAAAATTGTTAGCAAAAAGTTTAAATATAAATTATTGTAATTATTTTCAAATGGCTGTGTCAATGCAGAAGGGTTGATGTGGAATTTTGTTTTAGTGAAGACGGCCACACAAGGCAAAATGCCTGCAACTCACGAAGGTCGAAAATAACATTATGGTTAAAAATTTTTGTAGAACCTTGTTGATAAAAGTAAGCGTTGACAGGCAAAAATAACCCGAAAAAGATTTACTGTTTCTTATTTCCATTTGATGCATTGAGTTTTGCTGCAGTCATTTTTATGTTTTCAACTTCGACACATTTAATAACATATTCAGCATTAAAAGACATATCAGTGGGAGGGAAAATTATTTGAACTTAATTTCTGCTATACAGTTTGTGGGTGTATAAACAGCACAGGGTATTAAATGTGATAACAGAGCCTCAATTCGTGGTGTGCGTGTTAATGAATTTCCTCTCCTCCTCCTCCTCCTCCCCCCCCTCCCCTGCGTTTTGCTAGTAGGAAGGTGGTCACCCTAAGTAAAATGTTAATTAATATGTACTGTAGTACTTTACATTTACAGTAATTCTTTCTCCCACACTGTTATCAGTGATAGGATGAGTTGGTCAATCAACCGGCCATGTTAAAAAAGGATCTAGTGCTAAAGAATCAATCTTTATAGCTAGTGATTTAAATCACATAAAATCTAAATACATCTGAGTTAAATAAAACCTGTCTTAAATCAAATATTGTATATATCAAATAAATTTGATTTATTTTATTAAAAAATTATACATTGTAGCCACGGCACGGAGGCATATGGCAGACATGATAATCAAATGATAGAATCGGGAGTAAAAGGCCCTGGTTCTAACTTATTACAGTAGTTGCCATCCCACTATTTTACACATTTTCCCCGCAACTTTTTGCTCCCAACATTGCCTGAAAAAAGTAGACCATTCGAGTGCAGCAATGCCCCGTAGCTTCAGCTTTTAGTGTGTGTGTGTGTGTCTGCTCTTACCTCAGATGAAACAAACTATACAGTGAGTACGCTGTAGAATACATATTTGTACCATTTTCTTTTTCTACTTTCCTAAAAATTAAAATCGTCCAATATTTATTTGTTTTTTGCTTTGTTTAAGCCCGTTTTGGTGCAGGTATGGCACAATTTTTAGCAAAAAATTGCAGTGGCTTGGCTCGGCTATATACGTAGCCTGAGCTTATGTGCACAAAATGAGAGGCGCTATCAAGTGGCTCCGATGCAGCGTCAGACTTGGCTAATGTGCAACGGAGGCGCATAGCTGGGCACGCGGCGGCACCAGTGCGTCTGCTGCGGCTATGACGTCACTCCTCTGGAATGCGCAGACCTGGCGTGTCACACGGCGCGCCAGCTGTGCGCCGTGGGACACTACTGCTCCTCTCGCGCAGGCACAGCACGGAGCACGGCTCATTATGCGAGTCACGCGAAACGGCTCAACCTCGGCCAGTGTAGCTCACGCTACAAAAAATGGCATTCTGGCGCAAGATGTAGCAGACTTTCGTTCATGGCACAATTTGGTGCAGCATTGCCTCAGATGCAAGACTAGGACAATCCAAGCGATTTAATTATCTTTCCTCGTATCGAGAACACTACCGGTAACGCACGAAATGCTAGTGTAGCCATTTGCAGGGGTTAAACTCCGATGAAAAGGTACAAATACAAATGAAAAAGGAAGTCCAAGTCAACAAGAAACGATCACAAAACCCAGTACACGAGACTTGGATTTATGAACTCGCCCAATTGCGGTCACCCGATCACAGAGCAGACAACCTCTTTGTGAGGCGATCTGGTTTACTCGGCGCATAGAGAAGAAGGCTCTCGTCACGTTGCATTCGTCGGCAATGGACGATCAAGGTCCACGTCGTCCGCAAGCGTCACCCGGGTCGCCCACTGAGGATGGAGGCGGCCCACTGGGACACGTCGGTCGGGAGACTGGGGGCCTTGTGGAGCACCTCCTGCACCTGCGCAGGCTCCACTAGGAGCCGCATTAGTCGGAACTCGTACTGGACATTCCCCAGGAAGCTCGACAGTGGCCTCACCAGCTCCAGCATTTCCAGGTGCTGGAAGGCCTGCAAAAGGATCATCAGTTGCACGAGCAGATCGAGCCAGAGGGAACCGCGTCTGCCCGTCCCAGCGAAGGAGTGGTTATTCGTCTCGACCACCCGGGGAATTAACTTTCTACGTGCAACCTGAATCCAGGTCGCTTGGTGCCTCCTCCGCAATGGGGAGCGCAAGTTCGTCTACTTCTTTTGCAGGGGTTGTGGTGCCGTGCCAAGCTCTGATTGGCTATTGAAGGATGGTGGGTAGACCTTAAAGCAAGCTGCCTTGAGGTCTACTCACTATTCTTCAATCAGAGCCAATTGGAGCTTGGCGTTCTGACGGCACCACAACCCCTGCAGGAGAAGCAAACTTGCGCTCCACAACAAGCCTAAGCGCAGGCACCTCGGCCAAGATGCCAACCTGCCAAACGGAGGTGCTTAGGTGAGCACTTTGTCCCAGAGCCACAGAGGTGACTGCAGCTGCAACTTGTCTCGTAAATTGAATTCTATTTGGAGGCATGATCTGGTCTAAGTGTTGCATTCTAGATGTCCTTCGTCCCCCAAATCTGCATCGCATTGTTTTTCTCAATTTCATTTCGGTTGAATCTCCAGAACCTAAACCAGGGGTGGGCAAGCTAGGTCTCCAAAGTGTCACGCAAGCACCTGCGGATGATTCAAATGTCTTATACGCAAATAGTTTATGCAGTTATGTCTTTCAGAAAACCTTCCAGGACATGAGGCAGCTAGGTTGTTATACAAACCAGAAATAAAAATAGAGGGGAAGTGCCATTATAACCTGTGGGAACAATAACAGCAGAGAAGCACATCTTCAAAATAGTATACAATCAGCTTTTTAAAAACTTTCCTGTTAAAGTTTACTAGGGGTGTAGAAAGGGATCTTTTGTCTTATCCACACTTGAGCGGCGCTCAAATGAAATCCCAGAGACATGTGCCGAGGCTCAAGAGTTATAGGGAAACTCAAGCAGATTCTGAGAGTGTCTATTTATGGTGATAACTCGATCTACGGGCTCTAAGCACCCTAAAAAAGACCAAACGACACTCAAGGGTGGCCTATTTCCCTATTAAAAATCTAATAAAAAATTATGACACGCCCCTCTTTCTGCTTCTTGGAGCCAGGAGACGCCATTGGACAGCTTTTTAAAAAAAAATAATTGCTGTATTACATCTCCTACACCCAGAGATTCGACGTTTCTGTGAAAATATAATGCACAACGCACCTAGGAAAAGCAATATAATAGTTACGTTCAGAATCTCCACACAATCAACTATTTTCATTGGTCAAATTTTATGAAGGTGGTGGGGGCAAGGGGATGCCCCCCCCCCACCCAGAAAATTGTGTCCATATATTTCTATTGCTATGAGCTAATGTATTGGCAATAAAACTAATGTTTATTGGCTAAAACCCAAACAAACAAACATGCTATCAAAAACAAATTTCTATGAAAAGCACTTGAGTGCCCCTTTAACAGCGTACAAAGGATTGGAAATCACTATAATGCAGCACACATCATAGGTTTAACATTATGGTTGTATAAAAGTGGCAGTCTTAAAAAGGCGGGGCAGCATAAAAAGTTTTTTGGGGCAGCACATTGCACATGGGCCATTTGCCTGCTCCAATCCTAAAGCAATAAATACAAGCAAATACAACCATGACGGACTCTCCAGAAAGCCTCTACATGTTTGTCTGCCCCTGTATGTTCCACAGTTTCATTTCCTACAGATTTACACATTATTTACACATGCTGGCCAACTTGCCCGGCAGAACCGGGCAAGTTGGCCAGCACTGCGCAACGCACCGCGACGCAAGGAAGCGGTACGTTGACAGCTTTGAATACTACATCCCACAACAAGAAGGGCCGACAGAGCGACATCAACAATGCTACGACAGATGAAGCCAACGATGGATTCCAAGAGGTTAGACGGAAGAAGAGCACCATGAGAGCCGGCAAATGCAAGTCGTCGAGCATCTCAAGTGCTCGTCGCCCGCGGAAGTCTCTGTTTGTAACACGCCTTCACCCGGATACATCGTCTGAAAATGTTTGTGAACTGTTGACGTCAGTTACTGAGGTCACCTGCTTTGTGTGCACCAGGCTGCGAAGTAAGTTTGACACTTATTCATCCTTCCACATTGCTGTAGACGATGACAAGTTGGACGTCATCAGCGACGCTGAACTGTGGCCTGAGGGTTGTCTATTCCGTCCGTTTTACTGTCCGCTAAAGGACAGCATGCGTTTTGACCAAACGAGCAACCAACCCAGGAACGGCGATGAATAATGCACGCAAACTATTACCAGAATACACGTAGCATACGTGGAAAGGCTGCGAAGTTCATGGAAAATTGTATCGCTTCTGAATATGATATATACTGTATAACTGAGACATGGTTGCGGGAGGATATTCCTAGTACCGAGTATTTTCCGTCCCAGTTTTCAGTCTATCGTGGGGACAGAGATTACGAAATGTGCAATCAAATTTACGGGGGCGGTGCTCTGATAGCAGTCCGAAGCAATTTAGAATCCTATCGCAGACCTGATATGGAAATTTACAAGGAATCAGTGTGGATCGAAATTAATCTTCACGGACAACAGAATATTCTTCTGGGGAATTACTATTTCCCTCCGCAATGCGACTTTTCCACCTTTAGTTCTTATATTAATCACGCTTTGAGCATGATAGACTTCGCAAAATACCGTGTTTTTATTACAGGCGATTTTAACCTGCCTGGTGTGAATTGGGACACTGGTATCATAAACTCGTCCAACTCAGAGGTGCGAAGAAAAGCGAATGATTTATCTCAGCTCGTGAACTACTTGGAACTATACCAAAAAAATTTTCTTGTCAACTACAAAGGCAACGTGTTGGATTTGTTCCTTACAAATGATAACGAATGTATACTAGTACAACAAGCTAGCGCCCCACTTGTCCCTGTTGACACCTGGCATGTCCCGTTTGAAGTAGATTTAAGTATAGCTGATAACCAAGGTACAGCATGTCCGCAAGCGACTGCTTTTTCTTATGCAAAGGGGAATTACCTGGAGCTTTACGAGTTTCTTGCGAACACAGATTGGTCAGTCATTACATCAGGTAAAGATGACGTAGATAAACAAGTACTAATGCTTACAGACCTAGTGACATCAGCTATGAAGATGTTCATTCCGGCTTACGTACATGGTGTCACAGATCACTACCCTTTTTGGTTTTCCCACGAATTGAAACATACAATGAGGAAAAAGCTACGTTATCACAGACATTACAAGCTGACTAATAATCTGTTCTGGTACGAAAAGTTCAAGTCGGAGCGAGCTTTAGCGAAGCGTCTTTATCGTCGGGACCTCCGAAGCCACACTCAAAGTGTTGAATCAAGCCTAAAGCAAAATCCGCAAAGTCTTTGGAAGTATACCAGGAACTTCTCGAATAAAAAGAAAACGGCACAGAAGATAACACTATCTAACGGTTCGGAACATATCAGCAGTCCGAGCGACGTCTGTCAAGCGTTTGCAGATTTCTTTTCTGGTGTTTTTGATTCCACGGGAAATACGTCTCAAACTTGCACACTGCCAGACCAGGAAAACGCATACTTATCAATTCCCGAGCTCAGCATTGACGACGTTTTTGCGGCGATTCGGGCGTTACCACCTAAGAAATCGGCTGGAGCCGACGGAATTCCTTTGTTTATAGTGAAAGGGTGCGGTGACGTGTTAGCTCCGATTTTAACTTTTGTATTTAATCGGTCGTTGAAAGATGGGCTTTTTCCAACTGCATGGAAGTACTCTCTAGTTGCGCCAATATTCAAAGATGGGTCGGCACTAACTGTCACTAATTATCGTCCAATTTCACTGATCTGTTCGTTTGCCAAGGTGTTCGAAAAGGCCATGCATTGTCATATCATGCATTTTTTTTCCAGACGTTTAAACGTGCAACAACATGGTTTTATGCCAAATCGTTCTGTGGAAACAAACTTAATAGCGTTTACGGAATTTGTGGGTGCCAAACTAGGGTCGAAGCAGCAGGTCGACGCAATTTACTTTGATTTTAAAAAAGCATTTGACCTAGTGAGCCATTCACTGCTAGTTAAGAAACTTGCGTCCTATGGTATCTCCATACCACTTTGCGAATGGATTCAGAGCTATCTGCATGACAGATGGAATTCTGTTTCATACGGTGGTGCACAATCAACCGCGTACCTCTCCAGATCGGGAGTCCCGCAGGGTTCTAGCCTATCGCCTCTGCTTTTCAACATCTTCGTGAACGATATTTGCTCATGCATAAATCACTCGGAGATGTTACAATTTGCCGATGACGTTAAGCTTTTCCGAGCTATTGTGGACATTTCTGAGTGCAATAAACTACAGCAAGATATTACAGCATTGGCAGACTGGTGCAAGGACAACAAGTTGGTTCTCAACCCTGCTAAAACAAAAGTCATATCTTTTTCGAGAAAACATTTCTTTAACACCTTTGACTACACTTTGAACAAGTGCTCGATTGAGCGCATCTCAGTTGTACGTGATCTAGGAGTTTTCTTGGACAGCGAATTTAAATTCTCTGATCATGTGGCATACTTGAGCAATACATGTTACCGTACTTTGGGCGCAATTACCAGAATGACTCGAAACTTTAGAGGATATTCTTGCTTTTTGCATTTGTACCGATCCCTCATCCTGTCTAAACTGGATTTCTCTAGCGTTGTTTGGAATCGTTTAAACCAGACAAACTCGAATGAACTTGAAAATGTACAGAAGAAGTTTGTTCAACTACTTTACGATCGTTATTTTAACAGGCGAATTTATTTCAGCCATGAGCGATTGTTGAAGATTTTAAACCTGCATTGCCTCTCCGAAAGGAGGCAGGCACGAGACTTTTTATTTTTACACAGATGTCTTCACGGTTTCATAGATTGCCCCAAGCTAACCTCATCCGTACTCATTGCTGTACCTGGCAGGTCTCTTCGCTCCCATCGTGTTTTCGGTTCCTCTGAACCAAAAAGCTTAAGACCCATTGAGCGTATCCAGTATAATTTTAACATGTCAAATGTCGCAAACACGCCCGAAGTAGACATCTTTTTGCGGGAAAGTTTTAGTTTGCGGTCTCTGCTAGTGCTTTTATAATGTGACGCCCTCTTGTATCAGTTTTTTTGGCAAACAGTGTTGTTTTCAACTTTATGCACTTTTCTCATTTACATTTATATTTCACGTTTTTGTTTGTTCAAATTATGTATGCGTTTGCGTGCATCTTTTTTATGCAAAACTGCATGTAGGTGTCAACGGTGCACCCTTATGTAGGCCTATGGGCTGTTTAGGGGCACCGGAAAAGTACAATAAATAAATAAATAAATAAGTCTGTGGATGCATCCACCACCACTAGTTCTTTGGGTGTTATTTTAACAATGGGTACAAGTAAAATACCGTACAAGTAAAATACCTATGAAAACTCAATAGTGTATCATAGTAAACTTAGTAAAAAAAATCTAATTTTTAGTTGTACATGTGTTATGGCATTTGAGAACAAGTGCACTGTCACTACCTTCATGCTCGTGTTGCTCAAGTTGCATAGATGTAGCTATGGTAACGATGTCACCCTTCTCATTTAAAAAGACAATAAAATTTTTCTCGAACATTTTTCTAAATAGTTACTGCAATTAATCTTGAATGCTCATAGAATCTGGAACAGGAATCATTTTTCATCAAAAGCCTTTCACTTTTACAAAAAAAAACATTTAGACTTCTTTTTTTCCTTTTTTTAATTTAACAGTGAAAGGAAAATTTACACGGTCGTGAGAGCATTTTACCAAAACCAGAAGTTTGCCCAACCATTCGAGGGACAGCGGGGTCGGCCGTCCGTGTTCCCTGCGCCTGGTGCGATCACCGAGAAATGTTGAGCTACAGCAATAGCCCTCCCAGCCTTGTTAATCTGGTTGGTATTCCATGATTGGCCAGATGCTCACTATCATGACTCTAGATGGATTAGTTTTGCTTTCATCGATTGAAATAGGAGTGGTGTCAGATTGTCAACTTGGACAGCAGTGATGGCTCCAAGCCTCTACCGTGCTTTTAACACACACCATTGAACTTGTCGTTTGCAACCTATGATGAAGTAGCGTGACGACATGGACGAAGCCGTAACCGGGTGCCACCGAAATACTTTTAACTGCGAGCAGAGCAGAAGGTAAAAGAGTGAGCTCGGGGCTTCGAACGTACCCGCCGAGAATGTCATGCGCTTGTGCATTGCAAGCATGGCTAGAGGCAGCATGCTCGTGTTTCTAGCTTTGGCTTCTAAGTGAAAGAAACTATTGCAGACTACGCACGGCTCCGGACATTGTTAGAATTCTGCAGTTTCCATCACGGCACTTACTGGCCACAAACGCAAATCTGTTCAAGTGACACAGTGCTCGCATCTAATATGCGAGCTGGATTCGGCCGGCATGCTTGGGCCCTGCAGATGCATTATAGTGAAACGGCAAAAATCTTTTGAAGGAGAGAAGGTAAGAAATAGTCCGCTTTTATTTTAAATACTATTTCACCCCGAAAATTAGGTTTTTGGCTTCCTATCCTCGTGCGCTAGTTTTCTTTTGACTGACTAAACAAATTGTAGTAATTAGGAAACTTAATATAAATAATTTATGGTCCTTTAAACTCTGAACATGCAGATAACACAATACGGTACCATGAGCTGCAATATGGTACCATTAGGGCTCATTTTGGGGGAATATTTCGTGGGTGTTTTTTTGAGCCTATCCACATTTAGGGGGAATAAGTCTGATCCGTCGATAATAGAGTACTACATACCTTCATCACAATTGACTTGCCCGTGCTGTGGGGTGTTGATTTACTGCTAATGAACTTCTGGTACTCTGTAATGTGAGAAACACAGGGCACTTGCAAGTGTATCAGCTGCCCACACAACAATATCTTCCATACTTCAGTTGCCTATGGAAGTTTAATTTTAAAAGGGATGCTCGGCAACATCCGAGTCAGAAGTGCGGGTATAGCATGCGGTTCAACACATGGTGGCTCACCTTTGTAGACCATTTCGAAATTGAAAGGCTCTCCATCATATATTTTTGTCAGATGCAACATCGCAACAACGAGAGACAGTTCCAACACAGAGAGACCTGAAAAAAGCCAAAGTCACATTCCGATAGACAAAAATATCCTTCAATCTAACTATTCTATTTCTAACTAACAATAAAGCATTGCTGCCTTTAATACTGAGTCGCAATAGGCCGCTACTGTACTGCCATTGAATTATTTGAGGAGGGTGTAGAAACTATACAGTGTAGACCGCATATAATGTATGTCGCGGGAGTCGCGAAAATCCGCACTATAAGCGGTACTGCACTATAACCAAAACATAATTTTTCAGGCCAAAATACACGCCATGAGACAACTTACCTTCGTAAGACAATTTATTTTACGTTACATGAAAAATAAAGCTTAGAGTGAAGAAAGTCTTTATTCCACCAGACTAGTACACTTCTCTCTCAAGTGTGTCACACATTTTGAAAGAAATGAGCGACTTTTGCCTGGCACAGCCTTTTAACGGCGTCGCGGGTTGCGGACGGACGTTGCGAGCGTTCAGGATTGCTAACCCTAATCACTTTTCTCCGGCGATGAAAACGCGTGAAAATTCGCATCCTTTTATGGTACACGCCAGTGATACCTTCAACTTTAGCACAGGCATGAAATGCTCCAAACAAGAAATCCGGGCGATGTTCGGAAACACAAATGCTTAGAAAGCACCACTGTAGTCGAAGTAAACAAACACGACTACATGGGCGTTTCTGCCGTCTTGAGAGTGCCGCCACGACATTGCCGCATGAGTTGGTGGATCTTCCCTTCTAGTACGTGCTGGGTTATCATAACGACACACAACGAAAATTCACTGTCAAGGATAGCGCTTTTACGCGGAACGATGAGCTTCCACCATGCCGTCTACGTCGACGCCATGTTTGCGGATAGAAGAAGCCGGCCCGCGACCGGCATGCAACGCGCGCGAACACTTCTCCTCGACCTGCGATTGGTCTGTCGTTGGGTTGTTTCCAGCTATAGAGTTGGTCGTGGTTTCCAGCACGTTTCCAGCGCAGCGGGAACGACACGTGCGTGTGTCCCTCCGTCGTTATGGCAACTGAAGCCTCTCTCTTCGCTTCTCCCCGCTTCTTCGAGCAACCTCCTTGCCCCGCGAGGGCCGCTTGCTGCTAGCGCCGTTATGTAGTCGGCGCGCTCGGCGGGCTGTTCCAGAAACCGCACTATAACCGGTATTTCCCTTTTGAGCGCCTGCATTTTAAGCGGTATGTAATTACATGGAGTTCTATGGGAGGCGAACCGGTGGTTTAAAAAAGCCGCGTTATACCCGGTCCTGCACTATAAGCGGTTACGTTGTAAGTGGTCTATACTGTATGACCATATTCAAGCACATACCAATACTCTTATGCATGGTCTCTTGTGGTTACAATTGTGCCATCCCACAAAAAAGGCATCTTGACTTTCCTAGGCCTTTCAAATGAGGGTTGGCAGTTCATTTAATGAAACAGTTTTTAATGATGTCTTTTCCTAGGTATTTCAAGGGTACCATACCACTATATCTTGAGTATAATCTGCACCACTGTAGGATGTGTGACCCAAATGAACATTTAATTAATTTTGTCTCATGTTTTGCAGGCTCTAAATTGTTTTTCAAGACATACAGCAGTAAAAGTCAAAGCTTGTTTCGTTGTCACTTGACTGGGAACCTCCATAGATATTCCTGCATACATAATCTGACCATCTTATGGAACAAATGTCTATAATGCACACCTGTGTAAAATATGGGAACTTTCTGCACAACATTACTGCATCGGCGACAAGTGAAAACCCTGGACGGTGGTTTTCACCCTTAAAAAAATCAAATACAGTTGCCGACCGATTTTTTGGACACCAATAATTCAATGCCAATAATTCGGTCCTAAATGTGGAACAGTGACCTATCCGATAGAAATAGTGCATATTCATGACCGATGTTTCGGATAGCTTGAAGTCAGAAATTTCTATTTTTCGGACAAAATCGTCACGAGCGATCAGCAGGAAACACTACCGGGAAGTCGCCATTTTAGATTCTGTGTTGGCTGCACATGGATTGGCTTGGTTTGGCAGCGCTTCTTGAGTACTGCTAAGTCCTACCTCTAGGTGACGCTTATGGCTTTCTTTTCTCTAGCTGCGAGCCATTATCATGATCATTGTTACCATTCTGATTTGTTCATTCGCCATTCTGTAGTTGTGGACTTGCGTCTCTCATCTCATCTCGATGAAGGATGTTTTCGGACTACGCTGGCTTGGACATCATGACTGTAAAGAAAGGACTCGAACCGCTCCGTACCGCTCGCATCTCAGAAAAAAAGATTCCCCGGGTGCGCTGGCACACGAGCTCGTGCTCTTGTGAGCTCTCGTTGTCTTCCAATATTCAACATCCTCCCCCCCTGCGGCAACGAAGGGAATGATCTCGCCTGAACAGGACGGCGTAGTTCCAAACCGCTGGAGAGTTGTAGTGCGCATGCTCGAGTCACGCTCTCTCAGCCGGGGAACATCTTCGTTACCCGACCAAGTTTCCATAGTCGTCTTCTCGATGACGACAACAGGGGTTGTCGTCTTCTTCGATGACTACGTCGCCGACCTGTAGTCGAGGCAGTGTTGCCGTGGTGCCGGACTTTGCCCTCCTTGTACCCTAACACATTGTGGCAGTACTTGGCATCGAGCTCAAGCACCTTGAACGCTATCGCCTCTCCGACCCTCGAAGGCGTCTTGAGTTTTGGAAAAACTGCATTAAACCTCGCGGTGGACCTGGGTTCCGATTTCGTCTCCGGCTCGGCAGTGGCTGATGAGAGTGGTGTACCCTGTTCTGTCACAGCTCGGGGAGTCATCCTGGGCTCCGCCTCCCAGGATGACGCCCCGAGCTTGTTCCAATCCAGGCAACTGAAGCTTGCAAACTTTCAGTGATTTCTCTAAAGATGGCGGCGTCTGTTCTGCCTTGTCCATTAGCATTTTTCATTAGGCAGGAGTGGAACAGTCGTCCGGTGCAAAAGCCTTGTCTTCGTTTGCATCGCTCTGTCCTTCATTTTCCGCTCCTCCCTGCATTCCGTCGTCTGCTTCTTTCCGCTCGGCACCGTCTGCTTCCATTTCGTTCCAGTGGGATTCATGTTCAAATTGCTTGTGGTTTACCTTTGGCTCTACGGAAACCTCAAGTGAAACGAAGATGGCTGGAGTCAGATTGACGGTGAGTTCAATGCTAGCTGCAACCTTCAGCTTCTTTTTCTTTGGGGGCAGCAGGTCAAGCTCCTCTAAATGCCGCTTCACTCTGCCATTTCGCATGACGCAGTTTGGAGCCGAGCTAATCTATTCAGAGTCGCGCTCCCACCAAACAACGCTGATCACGTCGTTGTCCCTCAAAACGCAGATGCATACTACCAGGTTATCGTGGCTCAGGCAATGGGTCCAAGAAAATCTTTCAATGAGGCGCTGGATTTCGATCACATGGTTGCACACAAACTGCTGCCATCTTATTCAAAACTGAACTTGCAGATGAGCAATCCTTACTGTTTTGTTTACGTAATCAAAGAGACGCGCTCATAGCAAGCAAGCTAGCAATTCCAAACGGGGTAGCGTTACTGGTTTAATGGGAGCGATGCAAGAGTGACTGATTAAGATGCTTGTTTTAAACGACCCCTGCTCGACAGGCGTTCGCAGGTAGATGAGCACGTTCACAGTAATCACCACCAGCACGATGAGCACCTTGACCGCCATGGACATGCGCCGCTGCTTGCCAACAGCCGGCGTGGTGGCTGCACTGTGGCCTGCCATGTCCTCTCCACGTGCTCCTGCTCTGGAACGCAGCGTCATGTGGACAGGTGAACCGGCCTGAGGAAGGCTGCTGCTGTGGGTGCTGTAGGTGAACGAATGCCGACTCGGCTGCACGGCCTCGTTACACTGGGGGAGTTGCTGTTGTTCAGGTTGAATCAGACACCCTGGGCACTCAGAGGGAAGAATGTCGTGGGTCCCTTCCGCAGCGGCGTACCACCATCTTCTTCGCCAGAGTTGTCCTCGGGGATGACTTGAGGCTCCTCTTCCTCCTCCTCCTCTGTAGCAGAGAACTCGTCGGTTGGGACGGATCGAGTGGTCGGGACGCTGCTGTTGTTCAGCAGTTGCTGAAGGTGCCTCTCGTATTGACTCCGAGTCGAGGCTACAACAGCGTCTGCCTGGAAACCAAAGCCGCGGAGCTTGGCAAACAAGGCGTCGTCTGAAAGCGACGTGAAGCTGTCAGACACCTCTGGGAGCGTATAGGTGTAGTCGTGTTCCTTGGAGGTATCTCGGACGTCCTTGACGCTCGAGTAGTCGCCCGATGTGAAACGGCCGTTGTTCAAAACGTGCTGCCTGTACAACTTAACGAGGAGCTTTTTCTTTGGCGAGCCAGATGGCACTAACATGCCTCTCTGGTGAAGCACTTCAATGAGGTTCGTCTTCTTCAAATTTGCCATTTCTCTTCTACCTAAATTTTCCTTGTTTCACAAAGGAATAGAATAAAACCGTGGACACCAACACGCGTCAGAGAGCGTCAACGGCTCACTAAACGCAACCCCTGCATACACTCGCGCGCCGTCACTGTTTTGCTTTTTAACGATCTGTTCATTGAATTGAAGCAACGCTGGGTCAGTTGCTGGGTCTGACGAGGGAAGGTCAGAGATGCCGATAGCATCCAGTCGCAACATCTCAGATGGATTACGTAGCATTTCAAGGAGCAATGTTTCACAGCTGGTTGTTGAAACGGCGGTGGTGTTACTTCGGTCACCCGTTGGGCACATGTAGCGGCCTTGTACCTTCCATCCAAAGATGGTATGTACTGCTCTCAGATGCTCACTTAGAAGGCGAATTTGTCCAGTTGCTACCTTCCAGTAGACGTTGGAGCCAATAAGTACGCTGACCTCTGTGTCTGCCTGTAAACTAGGGGGGACGACGTCAGCCACAATCAGCCCAACAGAATGTAGCTGATTTAGGATATCGTTGTCAAGAGGCCAGTACGTAGTTCGGACACTTCAAGCGCCTCCACGGTAACCTTGCTTGTGCTGTATTGGCTCTGTAGCATCAGTTCGACACGGCGGCAGCGATAATTTGTGGGGCGTTTAATGTTTCCGAATGTGTAGATGGTAAGCTTTTCGATACCGAGAACTGGGCACCAAAGCCTCTACGAGGACTCTCGTTTTATAAATGTCCGCTGGCTTCCTGTGTCCAGAAGAACTCTTAGGAGTGCGCTGTCAGTGGTGCCTGTAGCCCAGGCCTTAGCGGTTTGAAGCAAAACCAATGACACTCCCGTGCTGGTAGTGGAAGCAGTGGTCACATTGTTTGTAAGGCCTCGGTTCTCGTCTGTACGTGATTCACTGACGTTGGTGAAGCTCGGTCTTGACTCGTCTTGAGGGAAGCGCCATATGTCGCAGAGGATGGCGATATGGCATCCGCTGCAAGTACTGCATACCAATCGTGTCGACGTACGGCAATTATGGGCAATGTGGTTGACCTTGCCGCATCTGAAACAACACCTTGCAGCTCTCAATCGGTTTCATTTCGTGTCGGAAGATATGTTGGTATTGCAGTCCTGCAATTGGTGTCCGATGCTGGTACAAAGTGGGCATGACCCGGGCTCCGGTGCGACCAAAGAAGTCGGGAGGGCAAGAGCCGACGGAAGAGTGTGCTGGGCGCTTGAAAGGCGTGTTCCCCTTCGGTCCTCTGGTGGTGAGTCAGGTGAAGACCACTGAAGTCCCCCTGACTCTCCTCGTGGCTCCCTATTTGGATCCGAAGAAACCTCAAGATGGTAGCAACTTTGGCTGTACCTGGGACGCCGGTAATAGTAATAATAATCTTTATTCAGCCTAAAGGGCTGCGACACCACAGAAAGGCCATTGGCCCATACCTGAGGCCTGCAGCGGTCTGCATATTGGTACGAATGACAAATGAAGAGGCAAGGAATAACTAAAGAAACTAAACATTAAATGAGGCGAACTTGTGCCCAAAACAAAATAAAAGTAAGGTAGCATCGCAGGCGTCGATGTCGGCGAAACAGCAGGATCGATTGCTGAAGCGAGACTGACTTCGCTCACCTTGCGGAGTCCCTTATGTACCCTCGTGGGTTTCTGGATCATTTGGCGTAGAACTTTCGGTGTGTAGAATATTCAAAACTCGATCAGACAAGAATGTTCTCGAACTTACGAGAAGGCCAAATTGAAAGAATAAATAAAAGGACAGTCCGCTGACTGGAATCGAACCTACACCTTCCGCGCAAAAGTCAAGCGCGGTTACCACTCGGCCATGCACGCGCTTGCTCGCCGATGCACATGGCAATATCACCTGCTTCGGTCGGTGACTCCTTTTCCTTTATGCTCTGTCTGAACAAAACAGCAAGGTTGTTGGGGAGCGATCTCATGAGGACGCGCTTGAGGACAGTCGTGTATTGAGTAGGTGGAACACCCAAACCTTCAAAGCAGCTTGTGCGGAACTGTATTGAATCATACAAATGTAGCAGCTGCGCGATGTTGTTGGAGCTGTTAACAGATGACAATGCCAGTAATTGATTGATATGTTCGCCTATAAGAATGCTGCTCTGTCCAAATCATTCAAGAAGAGCTTTTATGACGAGGTCGTACCCTGTGTCCGAGAGCCTCACCCATTCGATTGCTTGTTTTGCCAGTCCGGTTAGATATGACTGCAGATAGTATCTCGATGCGTGGGAGATCGACGTTGTCGTGGATCGTCACTCGGAAGTGTTGTGAAAAGCTTTGCCAGTCCCGCAGGTTCCCCAAAAAGGAGGGTATCTGTAATTTGAGGAGCACGACGGTATGTGGTATTTGGCGAGCGGGTGCATGGACCAGACCTCCTATTCTGGCGGAAACTTGATCCCGACCACCGAGGGCTGTACCGTTGTCCGATACTTGGGGTGGAGTGCTGGTAATGCAATTTTGAGCTAGAGCACAACGAACTCGGGTGACGGTGCGACTGATCTTCATGTTGTACTTGAGTGTGCCAACAACCTCGTTCTCCAGGTACTCGTCATCTAACAGGTCCTTGATCTCATTGTCTAATTCTTTTAGCTGCACTTCCTTTCGGAGAAGGAAATCGAGGTGTACTTGCAGGTCGGTGAAGTCGGGATCAATGCCTCGGAGTAGATCGGTGAGAGCGTTGAGGGTGCGGGTAACGGCCGAACGGAGTTTGCTGTGCATTCTCTTCATATGGTCCATGGATGTCGGTTATCGTGGCGCAGCAGGAGCGGTCCTTCAAAACATCTTGGGTTTCGGCACCAGTGTGTAAAGAAAGGACTCGAATCTCTCCGTACCGCTCGCATCCATTTATATCTCAGAACGACGGATTCCCTGGGTGCGCTGACCCACTAGCTCATCGTGCTCTTGTGAGCTCTCACCTCCCTCAAATATTCAACAATGACCCCACCTGTTCTTGTGCCGCCGCGAAGTGTCGCTAAGAAGTGAGGAAAGTACTCGACCATAATGCTAGAAAAGAAGGCAGCGATTCTCAAGCTAATAGAAAGTGGCTCAACGCAAGCGGAGGCGTAACCTAAAGCAAGGCACTATTGACAGCCTGTCCCGCTTAGTAAAGTCAGGTTTTCTAATCTGCTGATTTTTCGAACTGCTCTATAATTCTGACATTTTTTCGGTCCCTACAAAGTCCGAAAAATCGGTTGGCGACAAAGCTCGAACTTTGCCTCAATGTATCCGTCGGGGTAAAGAAAAAATCTTAAAGTATGCGCGCATTAGAACCCCACCAATACCTGTTTTAGGAGATGGCGGTGAAAAAAAAAAAAAGGATGATTTGGGAAAATTTAACAATCAATAACACCTTTGGGGGCATATTATAGAGGAGACAAGCAGTCTGCAGCAGCTGTCATGGAGCAACTTATTTCTTGTACACATGCGCAGCTGCAGAGAACCACCGTATTTATTAAAATGCGAGTCAACCTTTTTCTCGGAACTGCTAGTGAAATTAGGTGGTCTACCCATAAGAATATCAACCCTAAGAGTGAACTAACTCTCCAAGTTGATATAGCTAATGCAGATGCTCGTCCGCATCGGCCGCTGCTCCTATCATAGCTAGTGCAAAGCGTACTTGGCGAGGAGCAAGAAGCAGAGGCGAAAAGGTTAAAAAAAGGGAGGAACACGGCAAAAGGAAGATGGCAGCCGGGAAGCCCAATGCATTGCGTTGGGGGGTAGTTTTTTGATGTAAGAACTGGCAAAGTAAACACAACAAATGGGAAATGAAAACCTGACCTACTGGGACTTTAATTGGACTGGCATTTGCAAACAGGCAGAAATCTATGGACCGAAAATGCATCATAAAGGTTCTACCACGCTTATGAACCGAGTTAAAAAAACTCTGTAGTCTTATCCCAACAGATAGCGCCACCTCCAGGCGCTGCATAGTTTAATTCTTTGCGATGCAGAAAGCATGGCTTGCGCTTTTCGGCTCGCACACTACAGTAGATGCAAATCATGTGAAAGGTTTTTCACCTTTCAGAAGTGCCACCTTGGAGTCCATGAGAAGCTGCTTCTGAGATTCGACAATGTCAGAAGCACTCAATCTTAAATTCTGTTCTGACAACTGCTTTACAGGTGCAAGCTGAAAGAAACATGCATTTTCTCTATACAAACAACATACAACAAACAAAAGTAAACTCGTAGGGCGTTAAAATATAGTTGATGAAGCACAAAATGCTTAACATATAGATAGAGTGCAAGTTCATATTTCCTTACATACAATGATTTGGACAAAGGGATATAATAGAGCTGAATAAACCTACATTTTCATATGTAGGCAATAATAGAGAACACAGTCACCCAGCGCCGTACCCAGGAAAAATTTCGGGGGGGGGGGGGGGTTTTCGGGGACAACGGCGGCCATTTTGAAAGTGTCTATTGTCTTATTTTCGCCTATGAATCATGTGCATCGGTGGCATATAATGGAGAGTTACAGAAAACCGGAGAACCGGTCCCGGTTTGGTACCCGGTAGCCAACCGGCGCCACTGCGCGCGCGCAGAGTTGGAGATTAAAATTGGCTGGCTGCCAGTGCACCGACCAGGGCCATACCCAGAAAAAAATTTCGGGGGGGGGGGGGGGTCAGAACCCCCTAACCCCCCCCCCCTGGTTACGGCCCTGCAGTCACCTATATACTTGAAAAAAAAAAAAATTAAATGCAAAAAATTCAATACTGAAATTTAATACTATCAAGATTGCTGTCATCATTGAAAACAAAATGTAAAAAAAAAATCAAGAATGCAAATGTTTGGCAGGTAACACTTTACTTGGGGTACCAAGTAATTTTTTAAAAGGGCTATTTTACCCATCTTCACCACATTATTGACAGAAATAACTCTTGAGATTTACTGAACAGCTAGAAATTACTCTGGCAACACCTATAAAATAGCAGTTATAAGAATAACCGCTAGCTTACAATTTATATCACTAACAATTTTATTAAATCGTGTATGCTTTTTTTTCTTTGCTTATTGATATTTGTTTTTACTCAGCTGCAACTGAAAGCAGTGCACTTACCAAAAGCTGCTTCATGGCTCGAATGTCCTTGTTGGTTGAGTACTGACGTTTCATGGCCATCCACACTCCACTCTCCTGAACAAGTGTCTGTCAACATTTAAGAACAAGGGATGCATTCACAATATTCCTGACAGCTTTCCTACCTGCTGTGGGTAAGCAGTCACCATGAGAAGCAAAGCCATTCACTCAATGGCAACACACTAATTTGGGCAGAAATGGGAATTTGGACAAGAAAACTAAGAAGGACGACGAATTTGGGCGTGAGGGGGACGGCAGTTGTCGCAACTGTAGATCCCATGCAGATTCTAGGCTGCAAGAACGGTGCTACAAAGGTGCGAGGGTGGGAACATACCCTCCTGAATTTTGCATCTGCTTGCCCCAAATGTCTGAACCTGAGTATGGCCCCAATCACGTTGTTCTAGGTTGCAAAAGTAATCTAGGACCAAGAAAAAAAGTCACCCTTCTGCTATACTAGTCTGGCAAAGGCCAGACTAGTACGGCAGAAGCATTAACGGCATTAACACAAAATGTGGTAATGTGGAGAAACTGTACACACATGTGGACACTGGATGGCACAAAGAGGCCGTGTTGTGCGAGGTAAACGCGTGAGCACTCCATGGATGTTTTATTTGTAGATGCCATCTTCTGTAGTTGCAGTGCATATGTGACATTCTCAGAGCCTGTTGGAGTGTGAGACGCGGTAGACGAAGCGTGCGGAAAACAAAACAATTGGAATGTGGCATCACCGTGCAGAGACCTGGAGCCAGCTTGCGGCAAAAGAGGACCAAACACTTGGAACTACCTCAACTCGCTGCAACAAAGGAGTCTGCTTTTTTCTTTCCTGCTTTTCTGTCGCCTTTTTTCTGGGAAAGCCTGGAGAGCGCTCATTTCACGGAGCAGAGCGCCGATATATGTCTGTGAACACGCAAGTAACTAAATATCAGTATGTCATATTTTTACCGGACAACGCGGAAATTTTCTCCACCTACGGGGTGACCCGCGGTGCCGAAAGCGCGCAATATGTGATGTCTTCGGTCCTGGGCTTACTACTGGTCAGACCCGCTAAAAGCTTCTTTTTAGTCGAAATACAAAATATAAGTGACCCGAACAGTTTCAAATATTTATGAAAGTAGTTTTTGTTCAGTATTTTAAATTAGAAAAGAAACAAATGCTTATAAAGTACAAAAACAACAAATGACCCCTCGACATACCCGCCACCAAACGGTGGAAAAGGCGGCGCATACTACAGAGGGGTAGCGGGATCAGGCACTGACGAGCGGCAAGCGTAGAAAGGTCCTGCATGTACGCTGCGGCGCTACTGTTTGGCGACCGGTTCTGAGTGTTCCGAAGGCCTTCGGCGAGCAGGTTTGGCTTGCGGTTTGGCCGTTTGGCGGTATGGCAGTACAAAGTGGCTCCCATTCTGAACTGATGTTTGCTGTCGTTTGAGGTTAAAGAAGTATCATGCCGATTTAGTTTTTAATCGCGCAGCAAACGCAATGTGAGCCACCCTGGCTGCTCGCTTCATACAGCCTATCCAAAACATGCTTTAGTGGCGCCCTCTTGAGCCGTCGACACGGAGTGCGGCAGCCCCTCCTCGAGTTAACGGCCACTCAAGCGACCAAGGACGCCATGAAGGAGGTTATTTTTTGCTTGTTTTTGTAATTTAAGTTTGCCTATAACTTTTAAAATAAAGCGGAATTCGAGAAAAGAAAAGTTTCATTAAGTTACTACGTTCAGTGCGCTCAGGTTTGGTGCAAATTAAAAACCAGTAAAAAAGTCCTTGCAGGGCCCTTCAAGTGGGTGATAAGTAGGGTAGAAAAAATTCATGATTTCCCTTAAAAATCAAATAAATCACATTTAGTTTATTTAAATCAGACTAATTCAATTTAAGTCACTAGCTGAAAAGAAGTGACTCTTTATCACTACATCTGATTCTAAATGGCAGATCGCTTGAACAATCCATCCAATCACTGATAACAATGCAGAAGAAAAAGTTACAGTAAATTTAAAATACATTTCACTTAACAATTTCAGTGATGGAGACAGCATTTGACCTTTTGGAGCAGGTTCTGTAGCAGGCGAAACATCGGTTTGGAGCAACCACTGATGCTTTTTTCTTTGATATTGACTAAGGGCTCCTCTCTGATTCTGGAGCATATTATTACCTTTTGTAAGAAGAGTAGAAAGGACACAAAGAGACAGATAACTCGACAAAAAAAAAACGAGACTGTGGTTTAAAAACGACATACACTAAAATGCCCTTTAGCGTATGTCTCTCTTTTTCATTTTAACGTATGTGTTGTTTTTAACCGCAGTCTCGGGATATTTGTCATGCTTTATATTCACCAGCTCGTCGGCGCCCTTTTGTTCAGTTATTAACACAGAGCTTCCTTTTTCAAAAATAAGGCTCTGGTCAGAGTAGGTTCAGATTAAAAAAAATGGTTGCAAAACGAATCATGAAGCAACACTTTAGTTGGGATCAAACCTCACTCCTCTCCTCCTTTTACACTCAATAGTTCATTTAGCCCGAATATAAGTGCTGTAAATGCCATCAAAAAGAAGCCAATCTGCCATTTCTCGGCACAGCTCTTTAAAATTAGAGATTAACTTACAATCAAGATCAAGGAAGGTAGACCAGTAATAGTATTGAGCATAATTTCCGTGCCTATCACACTGAGCCAGGCGCTCCCCCACTGGACGCTCAGCTTGATGCGCATGCTCTGGTGAGAAGCGGTAAAGGTTGACACGAGCACAATACTCTGTAGCCACGGCACAGGGTCACGTAGCAGACACGATAATCAAGTCATCTCATCAGAGGCAATGGCATAACTAAGGTGGAAGAGGGGGGGCTTGTGGAAATTCAGCTCTGCCCATCCTAAAATTGTATATACACATGCACTTTGACCTTCCCTCCCCCACTCCACACCCTAAATCATGACATCCAAGCCACCTCATGCCGGAAAATCCTCAGAAAATCAAACAGAAATATTTGATTTTCGGAATTAAAATTCCAAAAATCAAACGTTTCTTGGATGAATCCAGCTTCTAAGAGTACCTCCCTGCATATGTTTATCTAACTTGTGGAAATCTATGTGGAAACAGTGAAGCCCATATACTACAACCCGGTGCTCAGAAACGAATATACAATTGCTTGGCGGGCAACATGTGATGTGACTCGCTATCAAGAGAGAAGCCATGTCGGTATACCTGAACAGAGGAGTTCCATTCGTCCCTCAGCTGCTTGCAGGGGAAGTCCGACGGAAGGGAGAGATGATCCATTATGATATTGAGGTACTCCTCAAAGCTGAACTCATTAAACAGGTGAAGCTGGCGGTGGGAGAACCGGGACTTGACCCTCTTTTCCAAGAGCTCTATGGCATCCTGGAAAGATCGTCGGCAAAGGAGGTTCGGGTCCACCTGCACACTGCACACGAATGTACACTTGCCATCACTCACCAGTCTGCAGGTGACCCCAACAACCATGACCGGGGCTTGCGCAGATTGTGCCACGTCAAAGAGGTTGTACAGGAGGGTCTGATTTTTGTGATAACAGAACAAATCAAACTCTTCGAGGATAAACACGATAGACTTGGACTGCTGGTCACCTGCGGAAAGGAGGAACAAATGTCGTGAGAATTACAACGTTCTCGCAATGACCAAGTGTCAACAGCATCTGAAGTGTTTGGGAGATGTCGTGGGGGAGGGGATCAGTATCGTCTGGAATGTCCAATGGGGGCTATCGTCCCTCCTGTTTAGCGCTGCCATATAAAATTTTAAAGTACCTGAGAAATGGCATTCAGGCTTCACGTCGAAGCTCAATTTACTTTATGCAAGATATAAAAGAAAACAAAGTATGCACACACCTGACTTCAGTGACTCGAGGAGAAAGGTGAAGTTCTCTGAAAAACTGCCCTGTAAGAGCATGCAAGAATCGGAAAGAAATATTATAAATGAAACAAGCAATATAGAAATAATGCAGCTATTTGTCACACTTACAAATACTTTGTCGCCGACGGCATTTTCTAATCGCAGCTGCCGTGTGATGTCTCTCAGGGCAATCCTGTCATCAGTGTGAACAAGTCCTGAAAAATGACGGAGGCTTAGAGCTTTTGGTTGGTAACATTGATCCAAAAGAAGTTTGTACCATTGAGCTCAACAAGTAGAAAGTTTCCCATCACGTCGGATTGTCGAGACACATCTTGGAGCACGCTGTGGATTAACTGAAAAAATTAATTAAAGAAGAAGCAATCTTTTTTTTTTTTTTTCTTTGAGGTGGGGGGGAGGGGGGGCAAATTATCATTGTCAATACCATTGTTATTACACCATTACTCACCGACGTCTTTCCGCTTCCTCTGGGCCCTGTCACCAGCACGGAGTTGCTCTCTCCCAAGGTAACTGCTCTTGTGATCAGGTCATAAAGATTCCTTCAAAAGAGGGTGAAAAATCATAATTTCTAGTCTGGGGCGGGATATGTACCTCAGTCCCGACACTTCCAGTCAGTGGTAGGTAAAGTGCATCTAAAAAGTACTTTAAGGAAAGTACAAAGTATGTGAAAGGTGATGTACAGGGTGTCAAAAAAGAAAATTTTTGCGGTCTTTTTTACCGCAAAAATAAACTAGGCATCGCCGAACACTCATTCTCCGCCAAAGGTAGCGCTAGAGGTCACAACCAGATGCCAAAGTTTCAGCCCGATCCGATAACTTAATCAAAAGTTATAACTGATTTTCTGAAAATTTCAATGGGTAAATGGCGGCCGACGGAGTTTTCGAACACATGGGGCTCTACGGCACCAAAATCCGAAAACGGGCAAAAATGGGCTCCCTTTTCCCATTGAAATTTTTAGAAAATCACTTTTAACTTTTGAGTAAGTTATCGGATCGGGCTGAAACTTTGGCATCTGGTTGTGACCTATAGCTCTACCTTTGGACAGAGAATCAGCGTTCGGCGATGCCTAGTTTATTTTTGCGGTAAAAAAGACAGTGTAAATGTTCTTTTGTGACACCCTGTACTGCAAGTAAAGTAGTAAGTGCACTCGGTGTAATGTACTTAAAGTAAAGTACTACAAATAGAACATACTTTCAAAGTAAAGTACAGGTACTTTTTAACACAATCTTTCATGATGCCTTTTTATTCCCATATAGTGATTTTTGAACTGGTATGCATTGGCCCAGGGATAATCAGGGGTGCATGACTTATTTTCAGAAATTGCAGCAAATATTAAATGAAGTCAATTCGCCAGAGTAGTTATTTTTAGAAATGGCGCCAAATGCAGAAGTCCCTCAGACTTCTGAATTTGGTGCCGCTTGCACTGGCTTGTTCCACCCAAGGGGGTTAAACATACTATAGTCAGTGACACTCTCCAGGGTTTTCTTAGCTAAATCGGAAAGAGGTGGAAGGAGCTTTCCCTGAACTTTTAACTTGTCGCCGACTATAGGAGAAAGCATAACATCAGCTCCATAGCTTCCGCAAGCAATCATCTCGTAGAGGAGTGTCCTCTCCTTAACGAGAAAACAGTGAGTGTGCAGGCAAGCTGGTGATAGTTAACTTATTCTTAACTGCGCCCATAGGCCATCGATCACCGGTGATCAATGGTTTCCAAGCGCCATCAAGAAATAAAAGTTAGGGTGGAGAATTATGTTCCACAACCTCGTGGATAGCTGAAGAACTGTAGTTTCGGTTTCAACATAGCTCGGAGATTTACCAAAAGCTAATGGGTTGTCAAAAATAGTCCTAGGAATGGTGGTTGCACTTGTCTAACATGGCTAACTGCTTGTATCAGTCTTCTTAACAAAGATGGCATTATTTAGATAATTCAACTGCATTGTGGCATATTTAGACCTCAAGAGCTACGAGGACACTTTAAATGATGTTATGCGGAGCGCAAGTTTGTCTGCTTCTTGCTCAGGGGGGTAGCGGTGAAGTCAGAATGCCGAGCCTTGATTGGCTGATCGCGACCCCCTATCTGAGCGTCGTCTGCTGCTTTGCAACATCGTCTGCTCGCAACTTTGGCTGCGTCTGTCTTACCTTTCCTGCGACTTTCGGAAGTGCAGGTCTTTACAAGCGAGCTCGACTTCGCCTTTCAGAGAGCGGTGAATCTCCGACAGACGCAGGAAGGGTAAAGCAGCCATCGCTTTGACTAGCAGACGTAAAGCAGGTGACGTTAACTGCGCCAACCCGCCGACGCCGTTAAAAGCCGCACACTAAAGGAGGGAAAAAGTATTTGGGGTGGGAACTTGCGGACGCTAGCCACCCTCACTCTCCGTTCTTAGCAAACAAACCTCGGCGCCTTGGGACACCTCGCCAGTGAGTCCTTTGACTTCTCCCCTTGATGGGCGTCTGCTAGTTGTTAGACAAAAACAACGTACCGCTCGAGTTATTTCGTCTGCCCTCTCTGAAAGGCGAAGTCGAGTTTGCTCGTAAAGACATGCGCTTCCGAAAGTCGCAGGAAAGGTAAGACAGACGCAGACGACGTTGCAAAGGAGCAGACGATACTCAGATAGGGGGTCGCCATCAGCCAATCGGGGCTCGGCGTTCTGACGTCACCGCTACCCCCTGCGCAAGAAGCAGACGAACTTGCCCTCCGCATAGGTGGGGGGTAGCCAGGCTGACCTGGCCTAAGAGCAGCAATGAAAATCACGAAACTTCCAAGAGCCGTGGGGGGGGGGGGGGGGGGGGGGGAGGGGGGGGTCAAACTTCTGTCCAGAGCAATAAACGAAACTCGAACTACTTTCAACCCATCCGAGTCAAAAGACGTCCAACTGTACGTAAGGTAGCAGTAGCACAAGACTACCAAACCGCAACCTGTCTTTCAATTTAAAACGCATTCCAATTTCTCTTTTTGGGGAAGTGCTCATGTGACCGGGAGGGAGGCTGGGGAATGTGCGTGCATGTGTGTGTGTGTGTGTGTGACAGAGAGAGAGTTAGGGGACGGAGCCACGAGCCACACTTCAACATGCGAAGAGCTGCATGTGGCTCGCGAGCCACAGCTTGGCCACCCCTGTTATAGGGGGTTGTCGGTAAGCACCACTGTAATTTCCAATGCTGTCCTAAGCCAGCGTGATTGTTTTATGTTCCCAACGTGGCAGACAAAAATGCTAAATATGAAGGAACTGCAATCAAGGCTATGACAAAACCAAGGTGGAACACAAAGAAAGCATTCTGCTGGGGATGTGAGGTGTACTACACTCCGTTTCACCTTATGTCCAACTGCAGCGGACGCTAGGAGCCATCTCAGCCAATCTTGTTTTGTGAACGTAACATGTGATACGCTTTTGTCCGTCACTTCGCCCCCTCTCCAAGGTCACGTAACACTCACGCGGCCTAGGATTGGCTCCGGTCGCTAGTAGCATCTGCTACGGTTTGTCATAAGGCAAAACAAAGTATATCTGTGTTTCACCACTACAAGCATTCTTTCATTGAAAAGCACATGTGTTACAAAGGCTAACTCTCCAACGAACCAAAAATAGACGTCAGTTAGAGGACACTAACTTTCCGCAGTAATAGCTGGGGGTGTGGGGCACATTTTGCATATTGTGAATTTTTCTTTTGTTGTTATATTTGATATAGCTGTAGAAGTTCCGGCATTTAATAATATTTTAGAATCTTTTTTTCACATTATATCAACCTCGGTTTTTTTTGAAAGAACAACTAATTGGCCACATTTTTCTCATGTGTCGTATAGCTCCATACGCAAATTAGTTAGGTTAATAAAATCGTATGCACGAATCCATTGAAAATCGCTACTTTTCCCGTGGTCAGGAAAGAGGTAATCATGATGGGTATGATGTGACACCTGAGACTGTGTTGCGAAAAAATTAAGGAACTTTCAAGTCGAGGGAAAATACAACAGAGAACGTCTCAAAACAATGCAGAGAGCAAGTCGCCTTGCGTAGGAGTTGCGGTGACGACAGAAAGACGGCGAGCTCTGATTGGCTGATTGCAGGATAGTGGGTAGACCTCAAAGCAAGCTGCCTTGAGGTCTACCTACTATCCTCCATACAGAACCAATCAGCGGTCATGCACGCGTCGCTAGAACATTACCGCTGGGGATCTCGCAACTGACAGAGACGCTCCCTCCACTCACCGTCTCTGCTTGTCAGCGTACGGTCTGACAGGCTCTCGCATCCCGTGAGTTGAAAGGTTGTTGGACAAGATCCTTTTGACTTGGGCTACGAGTTTCGAATGTGAATGCTCACTTCGCTCCCTGGACTGGGCGCGCTTCCGTGCGCTATTGCGAGCGGGTGTCATGCTTTACGCTGGTCTAAGGGCGGCTTGGGAGGGTGCTGAAAGTACTAAAAGCACGTTCGCCGCAATGATATAGCGAACAACTCGCGAAACACGTTGGAATAAGGGGCATAAGGGGATTTTGCCACTCTATTAGAACCATTCGAACCATTCGAACTTCTCGAGAAACCCGCAGAAATGCCCATTGTATCAAACATCATCTCGGATTTCGACTTCGGACTTAGACCGACGCTAAAAGTTTTCTTTAATCTAATAAATAAAACCTACATTTCAATATTTATTTTAATATTATTTGTACCATTATTTATAAAATATTTATATGAATGCATTATATTGTATATGTATCTTCCACCGCTTTTGACAGGAGCCTTGGCTGCTTTGGCGGCGGCTTGTGGCTTGTGCATACGGCTCTGGCTTGTGCCATACTTGTGCTGTTGTGCACGCATGATCGCCGGGAGTTGCCACCGCGATGTCTTCCTCAAGCTTGACATGTAAGATTGGACCTTCCATCCTCAATGCGGACCTGGCCAACATCTACGAGGAGTCTCAGAAGCTACTGGAGAGCGGAGCTGACTACCTGCACTTGGATGTCATGGACGGGCACTTCGTGCCTAACCTGACTTTCGGTCACCCCGTGGTCAAGTGTCTCAAGAGTAAACTTCCCAAGACTTTCTTCGATATGCACATGATGGTTCTCGCCCCCGAAAAGGCAAGGGAAGCGGAGAGTTTGAACAAAAAGTCTCACCAGAATGGTTTAATTTAATTTTTTTCGCGATTGATGACCCGGGTGATGACCTGTTCGAGTGCGGTCGTGCATGATATGCAATCTACTCTCTTATCTCACCACTGGCCATTGCTTGGCAAACAAGATTTGCTCCGAGCTTTCTTATTTCTTGTACGGAAAAGAAGATGGTGGTAGTCTTTTTCCATGTTAAGAAAGCTAAAAATTGTCTGGGTTTCTCGCCGTCTTGAAGTCGAACGTCATAAAAAAGCTAAACGAAGTGGGTAGTCGGTGTCACCTTATCATATTAAAGTGCTGGAGAGCAACTAACTAAATCTTTTACAGATAAAGCGCATGAGTGCATTGGGGCATGTTGACAATCGTTCGTCATGCTTTTAAGTTGGGTGAGGTCGTCGTTGTAATTTTTATCTTCCTCTGCAGGAGACGACAGCAAAAGTCGCATGTTAGAGAATGTTTAGGAGATCACTGGTTCAAATAAGGAACAGAAGGGGGTCAAGTACTATTCGTCAGTGTTCCTCGAAACCTAGATAAACGTAATTAATAAAAAAAAAATCCCAATATTTTAGAAGGTAGTTGTGGATCGAAGAATTAGTGTCTGGTCATAAGAGTAAGATATTGAACTCTTAGGCGCTGCATGGCAATGATGTACAAGGTTAAAAGCTTCAGAGAAAATATAGTGCCTGTGACAAATGAAATTCATGATAGCATCTGATTCATCGGTGAACTTCAGCATTCTCACTTTGCAGAAATCCTTGAGGATCGTAACTATTCCCAACACCAAAGTTGTCAATGCCACCCGGCAAAAAGTATATGAAGGGGAGAAGCAAGCAGCTACTGCCTCTTCTTATACTTAGCGAAGACTAGCACAACCTGGCAGTTGAAATGTGAAACAGTGGAAAGGGGTGCTGAAAGAATCTGCCTGGTTCGGACTGGGTTCCAGACCAGGCGGATTTTTTCAGTGACACACCAGTTGCCTAGAGATACTGAGTTGCCCTCCATCTCAGATCGAAGTCCATTTATTCTTGCGTAGGTCTACTCCCCCTTGGCGACTTCCCTACATCATTATATCGACCAGATTTTTCGAACTATAGTCTGCTGACTATACATATTTGAAAGTTGAAAATTTATGCGTTACAGACTATACAGGCATTTTGTTTTTCAAGATTGTTCATTACGACGAGACATGACGAATTTTGTGTAAGTTATTGATGATTTATGTATGATACAAGCTTCTTTGTGAGCTAAGAAAGCAGGCATTTGTCAAGGTTGGCTGCGTATGAAAAGATTTTCGTGTCGACTAAGCACGAGGTGCAAACTGTGCACGGCATGCAGACTATCTAAGCAAAACAATTTTGGTTTTGACACCAAACTTGTTTCTGTGGACTATAAACCGGGTGCAGACTATAGTCTGAAAAATATTATGGTCTTTTGTTTTGTAGGCATAGGTTTTCCTCATTAAACATTTTGTCTTCTCAGTCTTTTATCGTGTTCACTCATCGTCGATACTGGTGACATATTCTCAAAAGTCACCAGTTGCTGAGCCCAAAGGAGGTACGCTTAACCCGTTTTTCCACACACACGATGCAGTGGGTGTCTCCTATGGCAGATGCGGGTGCAGACCAGTACACCTTCCACTACGAAGCCACATCAGATCCCACGGGACTGGTCCGCAAGATCAGGGAAGCCGGCATGAAGGCAAGTGCCGGCACGCTCGGGAACAGTGCCCCAAAGGGTGGGCGAGGCGCGCATGAAATATTTGAACTCCTTAACGGAGGCAAACACGGTATAGTTGCTGTCAGGAAGCAGCAGGGAGGAGCTTCAGTAGTCCTGCCTGCAGCACGGATTCCTACCTGCTTTGGCATTTCGTGAGTCTTTCATGCTCGTGCAGCCACGGCGAAAAGGCACTGAGCGCATGCTGGAGGCCGGGCGTTCAAAAGCGACGCCCTGCCGTTCTTGCCTTGACAGCGATTCTACGCTTCGCACGAAAAAAGTGCACGTGGTTTATTCCTTTCTTGCAGCTACCGTAAAATACCGTGGAAGCACCCACTTCGTTCAAGCGCCCACTGTTAACGTGTTCTAAACTTTAGATTGTGCAAACTATACGTTAAGTGCTCTATTTGACCGGACGAGCGCCCATGTCTAGATTAATCCAGTTTTGAGTGAAAGTGGGGTGGGTGCTCCCCGGTATTTTACGGTATACACAAAGTGCAGCCTGCTCATCTCCTAGTATGGCACTGCAAAGATCTAACATTGAGCTATCTGCTATGATTCATCTCTCAGGTGGGTGTCGGCATCAAACCCAATACGCCGGTAGATGTGCTGCTGCCTCTGGTGGACCAGGTGGACATGGTGCTGATCATGACCGTGGAGCCCGGATTTGGAGGACAGAGCTTCATGTCCGACATGATGCCCAAGGTAGCGAACTCGTTGGCACTGTTTCTCGAGAAAACTGGTGGAGTTTGCCGTATGGAAGGCGGCAGTTACCGTGGCGACGAGTCTCGGACTGCCGAGGAACTCTGAGGAGTAGTCGCTGTCGCTGTCAAGAATCGGGTCTGCCATCCTGTTTAACGATTGTCCGAGCTGATCCATTTTCGAAGCACCGTCCGAAATGCTTGGAACTGCCTCGTAGGTCCTGACCATTTGGTCCTGTATTGTGTTCCACTGCATCTCAGCATTGTGTTCTTGCCAATGCTGGGAAGGTTGTATTCTTCTAGTATTTCAACTTCTAAAATATGTTTGAAGCAGACTATGAATAGCTTAGTGGCGGGAGTTTATTTGAACTAGGTGCTCTTTATTTAAAACTGTCGGGTAGCCTTTGTGTGTTTCTATCATTCTTACAGTGCTGTTAGTCAGGTTGAACCTATTTTCTTAATTTATAACTTCGCCTGTTTTTTAGAAGCATACAATTATCTGGTACGTGGCAATGCAGCATAATTCTGTGATGCCAGCAACCAAAAAAAAAAAGCTATAGTGGGCATGCCCTTGTGCAAATAGCCCCTGACCACGTCTCGTTCTGAACTAGGCTGCGGGTTTCACTGTATTTACGAAATCAAATATACACGCTATCTTCTGGAAATCGCCACTTATAGCACTGTCAGACTTAATTCACTCTTATGATAAAAAAATGAGTAAAAAATTGGGATATATATGTGAACCAGAAGTGGTGTCGGGGCTACCCAGTAGATGGCTCCACCAGGTTTGTTGCCGAACAAAAAAGGACGAATAGAAAAGTGAATTATTAACTGGGGATTTTTTTTGTCATTGTTCCAGTATATTTTGGTACCACACATATCTCGTCAAACTTTTTTTGTGCTGCTATCCACTGGTTTCTAAAGCAAAATCATTTCCAATGTTTTCGGAGATTGACAGCGCTTCCTCCTGTGTAATAAAAAGAGTGAATGACATTCCCCAAGACCAACTGAAAAACAACAGTACATAAAAGTTTCTGAAGGCCATAGGCTTTATTTTTGAATAGAACATTTTTTACATCAAGGTGTTACTAAAACCTGAAAACTGCTACAGTCCATTGTAACTCAAGAAGGTAGGGCGAAGGAAAGGAAGGTCGGAGAGGAGGAAGCAGACGGAACACAGGAGAGGAGAGGGGGAAACCTCTTTTTCGGCCTTCCTTTCCTCTGCCCTACCTTGTTGAGTTGTTGGTCTGTGACAAGGGTCCCAGATCCTTCAAACATAATTTTGATATGTCTATTTAGAATTAACCTTCCTATTACATGAGAAAAAAGGCAGTCATAAAAGCAACCCATAACTTTGACATTATTCCTAAGAGTGGTTAACATTTTTTTAAAAGGCTTTAAAAGGGAGAGGTGGATCTAATAAAGCGAGAACTTTACAGGTTCAGCTTTTACGCTCCAAATTCAAGGACCTGGACATTGAGGTCGATGGTGGAGTCGGACCCAACACAATCCAGGAATGTGCTCAGGTAACTCCTCTCAAACTGCCCATTATTTCAGTGGAAATGGGTCGCATATTATCAGTGGCAGATTCAGAAAGGGGGGGGGGGGGGGGGGGGGGGGGGAGTTCCTCATGCCCCCCCCCCCCCCCCCCCCTTGAAAGCCATATCTGTGCAATTTTAGGAGGGGGGGGGGGGGGGGGCTGTTTTCTCAAACATCTGATATGCTGACCCTCCGTTTCCTCTGGAAACACCTGCAGCCACCCCTGCATACTACAGTCGAACCCGGATATATAGAATTCATATGGGATCGTAAAATAGTTGGATATATCGATAATTTGATATAGAACACTATGTTCAGTTAAGCTCCAGTTGAAATTGCCGCACGTCTCTGCTAATACCGAAGGCCGCAACAAATGGAACCTTACCAAATAGAGCCTCTAAGAGCCGCTAGATACAGTAGAGCTTTTTTTTGGTGAAGATCATAAGCACCGCTGCGTTTAGGCGACGGTGTTTCCGATCGCTTGCGCCCAGGGTGTCGAACCGGAACCGAACCGAACCAAAAACCGGAACAGAACCGTTATTTTTAGCCGAACCGGAACTGAACCGAACCGAAATCTTCGCCGCCATCTTGGAACTGAACCGGAACTGAACCGGAAAAAAATATAACGGTAACCGGTTCAAAACGGTTCACGGTATTTTTTTTTTGTTAGTATTACAAATTTATTATTTGGGAATAAACAAATTGGCACGTGTATTCCTCTACGTATTGATCAAATCGTCATATACAGAATTGCAATGTATAATAAATCCTGGTTTTTTGCAGCGCTTTCTGATTGGCACTATGATTAGGCATGTGTCACATCGTCACGTGACGTCATGATGTCAAGACATGTTGTCAATTAATGTCACATCACGTGACCCCGTGACGTCACGTGACTCACCGCGTTAAGTCGATTCAAATTGAGGACGTCGCTAGATCTATTAATGTTGTTGATACCGTGACGTCACATGACATCACAACTTCGCACTGAGAGTCACGTGACACCATGATGTACCCGATTGTCGTGATCCCGAGTCGAATGCTCTGGTTCATGACAACCAGCATCGCCAAACATTCGGGTAACGGCTCGTGTTCAACTCAAAGATTATGATGGTCCCGAGTCCCACTAGAGCTCGAAACAGAAACAAACGACAGCGACAAGCCTCAGAGACATGCAGCATGTTCGCGATGGTACCTTTATACGGCTTTGAGTTGTTCGGTGCTCGCGAAGTTAGCACGAGCGTTTACAAGCTTGCAAATGGTACCATCGTGTGCATAATACTCGTGTTTGAGCATAGCCTTCTTTATTCTACAAAGCCTGTCAAATCGCGAAATACTCTGGTCTAAGGCTAGCCGCTGTCGTTTGTTTCTGTTTGTCGCTTTAGTAGGGCTCGGGCATTATAGCCCAACTAAAACTATATCTGAAGATCAGCCCATGCTCTCTGCTTTGCCAACCCTGCGTATGACTATGATAAACACTGACGGTGTATATATTAGGACCAGATCGCGTGGCTGATAGTCCTGATTGCGAGTTGAGGAGGGGAAAGCTGTTTCATTTCTTTCTTTCGACTGTCTGCCATTTCACGAAGGGGCAAACTAATGGATGCTTTTGCAAGTTATCAACGTCAGGGATTACATCTTAGCGATATTTATTGAACTTAAGGTAAAAAAAAAAATGCTTCACGACCCATTTTACATGTATGCACACCATTGAGGCTCCCAAATTTGTTTTCGTTATTGCTGAACTGCCCCAGAAAGTTGTCCCGAGAATAGAAGTGTTAAAGGGTCTAAATGTGACGTGTTAGTCCGACGTTACATGGAACTATTAGTGTGTACGGGAGGGATACCTGAGAAGAAAGATCCTAGTGGCCTCACGCCGGGGACAGCTGAACGTTGGCAGCCGCTCTAAGTCTCACAGGAGTGTCGTTCTCAAGTTCTCCAAGTTTCGACCGCCCTGTATTTTGTTTAAACTTCACAGTGTGGTGCAAAGTAAAAGCAAGGAAGAATTACTGTTAACAAGTGACACAAATATAATTGTCGAGTGAACACCACTCAATACGGAGCAAGCAATCCCTAAGGAATAAAAAGTATCTTGAGGAGCAACTAAAAAAAAAGGGAGTGGGGAGGGGGGTAGTTTTAAAGCATACTACTCGTAAAGATTCCTCTGCCCCACATTTTCGGCGCAGACTAGAAAGCGTGGCCTGGAAACGATAGTGACAGATGGGTAGTTGGTACAACTGTTATTTGTAAATACACTCTTGCCAGAAAGCACGTTTTCGTCGTGCCAGATACTCGCGCCGTGCCTAACGACGATGCACCAACAAGAAAAATGTGTGCCTCTCAAATACATAGCTTGCACTGAGCGCGAAACTTTTGTAGCGTGCATTTTGCTCCACCGGATTTGATTTTCTGAGCAAGAACAACTCGCAATGACAACCAGTATCTAGTGTGATTACCTCACGTGCAAACCATGTTAAATACTTCAGCTTTCTGGTGAAGTGCAACGTTCGCAACACCAGCAGTAGACGTCCAAGGTGTAAAGTTGTGTAGTATTTATAGCAGTCTCGCGATGATATACGGCAGCCTAATGAAATGTTGGAGCACATGACTGATAAAGCACAGAGTCGTGAAGTAAGGTTCCAAAACAAAACAACCTAAGATAACATTAGCCTCCCGAGGCAGTATCTCGCGACGTTTCGAGCCGAGGCAAGCTGATGCCCAAAAGTGATTTATATTAGGATTCTAAAAATCTTCGTCTGCCCTGCGCGGAATCTATGTTTAATTAGGAATATCATTTTCTGCATTTCTATGCATCTCTTTTTGCAGTAAAGCGTTGTGTAAGGGATTATTTAGAAAAAATTGCGTGTCATCTCCTTATTTCTGCCCATTTCGTGTATTGGCCTTCCGATATATCATGTGACCACAGCGTTTTTTGGCATACCCTGCCACCCAGTATTTTACACTGCAAAACAGCTAACAAAAGCACGTTGCCGAAGACTCAACAGCAGGCGTATTTCCGAGTATCGTCCTTCCGTATCCATCTCAGGCGGTTATGTGAACTTCATAAAGTCAAATTTATTGATGATAATAAAAATATACTTAATTCCAGTCTGAAGATTTGGCAGCACAAATAGAAGATCCTCACCTCAAAGATATATAAGTAAATGCACCTTTAAATTATCTGAACGATGTTCTGCAAATCTTTTTTGCCGCTTTTATCCTCTGTATACACGTTATAGGTGATTTGGAAAAGCTTTAAATAATTTTTTTTTATTTTGAAGCTAATTTAAATAACTATGTGTTCCTCACGCATATATAACTTCTCAAATATATAGAAGTTTATTATCGCGTTTTTTATGTGTTTTTATTATCGCGTTTTTTTACTGGAACGAATGGTGGAACTATGACGATTGCACACTTAAACTCTCAGAAAGTGTCCGATTAAGTAGCTTCCAAATTGAGTAGAGCATGAAATCCCACTTTGTTCTATTTAACAAAACTCATCAATTAGCGAGGGTGATGCTCACTTGCAAATTAAATTGACCGGCATTTTGTCAAGAGCAAACCTCAACATCCAGGCTATGCCAGTTTATCCAATATAAGAAAATGTTCACATGGGTAAGCACTGTTCTAGGTGAGATTCGATCTGAGTACGAAGGTGCTCATAGGTTAGAGTGAACAATTTTAGCCACTCCTTTTCGCATGATTCGTCGCCCGCATCATGGTGCTGAGAGCAAACAATGCTAGTTAGAAAAACAAGCATTGCGATTGTCGCTTAGTGTTTCTATAAAATATAGACTGGAAGGACTTGTCCCGTGACTTCCGTGATATTTTGAAAATTATATTGCATTAAGCTCAGTCATCTCGTCATCATATATATATTGTGAAACGTATTCCGTAAAACACATTTTATGGTATTTATGGCCACGAGGTGCCCATTTCATGATTTTATTCACTGTAATTAATTCCTTAGTTCAAGGGCAAAACCACGATTCAACATCTAATACTGCGATACAAAGTTGTACCAATCACGGGTATTTTAGGCAACCAACTTCACTTCGTCAAAAACATTTCGATTCAGGTACAATGTATGTGACTCTGGTAAACGAAGGGATGTTGAGTCATATAGACACGACGTTTTGTATGTTAATGTAGATTTTCTTTTCTTGTTGTGTAGGATTAAATAACAGAATTTTATAACTTTGGTACCTGAAAATCAAACTGGATTGAACAAACGATAAAAAAAAAGAAAACTATATACTGTAAACGACTTATTTTTCGTGGGCTCAATATTTTGCGATTTAGGTCAAAGCTGAAGTTTTGGAATAATTCGCGGGTTGTAATTTTCTCGACGCGGTGGAATCTCAATATAAATTTCATTGTGTTTACATTTTACCGAAATTGTTCACGGGACCCATTTTTCGCGAATTGTAGGCAATTCGCGAAATTCTCAAAAATAGGTCCTCGCAAAAATCAGATCGTTTGCAGCAGTTAGTTTCACGGCCTAAATAGCGCCTATTGACAGAACAACGCGGAAAATGTATTCTCAATTTAGCGGTTCAAACCGGTTTGAACCGTTATTTTTTGCGCCCCGGAACTGAACCGGAACTGAACCGAACCGATAAAAATATTGGTTCGACACTCTGCTTGCGCCTGGCCACGACCTGCCCACAGCGCAACAATGAAACAAAAAAAACACAAAAAATATGATTTGTAGAGTAAAGTTAAGCAAGCAACAAAGAAGGGGGGGGGGGGGGGGGGGCCTGTTACATTTGCTATATCGAGTGTCCCCCTCAAGGGACTGCCATGGGAGTTCGATCTAGAAAAAAAACGCTCCTAGGAAATGTTTGGACTGTTCGATACAAACTATAATTCGAAATACACAAGTGTGACATAACCGGGCTCGACCATAGTGTGATGAGAACCATTGATAACTTATTAAAGGTCCGTCTCAGGGTCAGGCAAACCCAGGCCCATAGGTATCGTG